TACCTGGGGATCTGGGACCACAGAAGGTGACCCTGAGCCTAGGCTAGATAGAGGATCTGGCAAGGCTTCCTGGGGGAGATGACGCTGCAGCAGAGCCTTAGAGGGTACATGAAATTTAGCCCAACTGACCAACATCACTTGAAGGCAGAAATCATGACTGCTTCCTGCTTTGTTTGTGTATTCCATCATCAAAGCAGTTGCTTGAACATTAAACTTACAAGAAAAGCTTGTTTAATAATCATTGACATTTGATTGCTTTATTTGATTAAGTATTCAAATGAAACACTGACCAGACTAATATTATTCAACATAATGGTGTAAAAAACATAACCTAACATGTTCTGGATTTCCTATGCTTTTTAAAAATCCTACTTGTGCCATACCATATGGACCTGGTGAGCGTTTAGAAAAAGCACAGTAAGACGGCATGGATGTGAAGAAGCAAGGCATTATTTAATTATGAACTATGAGTGACCCAAACCCAAATCACAATGTTCAGGAATTGAATGATGCTTTAAAGGTACATTACTGTACATGCCAAGTAAGAATTTAACTTTGTGAAATAGGGTATTTTATTATAAACCATTATACTATAATAAAAGCAGCGCAACAGTGAATGAAAAATGTATTCAGAAGAATACAACACTCATTTTGTTTTCCAAGATGACATCGCACAATATATTGCAGAATAAGAGAAAAACTATAGGATCTAGAATATACTCCAATCACAGTAGAGCCAGTTTTTTCACTCTGTGTTCTAAAACCATCCAAATCAATTCAGTGTCTTGGTCCATACTGGAAATTCAGTATTATCATTTCAGAGTCTTGGTAGAAAGAGACCCTTACTTTGAAAACAAAAAAGTAAAAAACAAACAAAAAAAACCCTCTTCTTCGTGTTAGATTAGGAACTTTAACTTGTTGTTCTCTTATCCTTCCATTACTATTTCTGCCTTTTCCAAGGCAACCTATGTGGTCCTAATCTGAAGTTAAGCAATCAGAGTTGATTATGTTGATACTTACACTAGGATGTTTTACAATGTCAGAATCATAAAGTTTCGGTAATAGAAAAGAGATGATGGCATGTACTGCTATTGCAGTAAGCAGCAAACAGTTGTAAAAACTAAAATCCATAGAGATTGAGTGACTTGTCTAAGTTTTTATAACTAGTTACTAGCAGAGCTGGCATCAGACACTAGGTTATGGGAGTCCCAACCAATGCAATTTCTATTATGTACAATTTCTGCAGACATTATCATAATAAACCACGAAGAAAAACTGATGAAAAAAAAATTGCGGCTGGACGTGGTAGCTCACACCTGTAATCCGAGCCCTCTGGGAGGCTGAGGCAGGTGGATCACTTGAGGTCAGGAGTTCTAGCCGCCTGGCCAACACAGTGAAACCCTGTCTCTACTGAAAATACAAAAATTAGCCAGGTGTAGGGGTGCGCACCTGTAATCCCAGCTACTCGAGAAGCTGTGGTAGGAGAATTGCTTGAACCCCAGAGGCAAAAGTTGCAGTGAGCTGAGATTGCGCCACTGCACTCCAGCCCAGGCAACAAAGTGAGACTCATCTGGGGAAAAAAAAAAAAAAAAAAAGGTTGGGTGCGATATTTATATTAATTAGAAAAATTAGTATATTCTTCTAATGTTAACCCTTGGAAAGCAAAAGTGACAAAAAAAAGTTGATACCTGATTTCCTGAGTTAGAACCTTACAGGTTTACTCAGCATCAGTTTTTGCTTCAAATACATTTTCTTTAAGTTTCTCACATAATCAACACATCATACAAGTTCACATGAATTCTAGGACTGTATAATTTCTATGTGAAAGTCCAACTCCAATAATGAATATAGAAACCAATTCGAATGACACACGTTGACCACAGCGTTATGAAAGGCTCTGATGCTAGAAAAGCCACTGAAAATATAAATTGATGTTTTATCTAAAGGTAATTGCCAATATTTAAACTTCTGAATATTTGAATAATTTATAGTTGAATGTCTGTTATGATGGACTGGATGCCCTAATTTGTTTTACTTAAAAGCGAATGACATTTTCTCAATTCTAGCAGTCAGCATCTAAATCCTGAGATGCAGGCCAACAATAACAACAATAAATTCCTTTCTTTTTAAAATGGACACAGGCAGATATTAAAAGCTCATTATCAAAACACAATTATTTTCTAAAAGGGAAAAAGGCACAGGGAGATTAGAATAACTTGCTAGCATTAATAAACAGATACTTTAAAACAAAGTGTAAAAACATAAAAAAATTGTAGTAAATGAGCATAGCTATTCTTCAGATTCTCAAATTAGTGTTTTTTGATGGATCTCATCTGATATTTTAAAAATAGGAACATCTTCCTTTTGAGAAACAGGATAACATAAAAGTGAAGTTTGAGGACTCTATAATCAGATTATCTAGGTTCAAATCCTAACTCTGCTTACTATTAACTGTATGTACTTATTTTTTTAAAACCTGCTACAGATGAAAAAGAGTAAAAGTACTAATTCCCATACTCAAAGTTTAAAGCAGCAACAAGTGAAACTCAGCAACTTCTATTTGTCTATTTACCTGTGCAATTAACCAGTCTATCAGTTTGTTGGCCATGACCACAGATTTGTAGGTCCTTAAATGGTAATCTTTATCTCTACAAAGGAAAAAATAAAAACAAACAAAAAAACAAAAATTAAGCAAGGGGATACGTGAGAAGAAGAAAATATTTTCATTTAGTATCAGTATGCAACAGAAAAGTTTACCATTGTAACCTGAGTTAATTGCCCAAATTACATGCGAATAAGAGAAGTTTATTATGCATGTAGAACACCTGAAAAATCCTCCACCAGCTTATACTAAGAGAAGATACCCACAATGTTACCAAAACAGGACATCTCTTCTTTCACACTTTCTTATATCCAAATAGATTATTACTGCTATATTAGCTGGAAATAATTGAGTTGGAAATATAATAAGTCCACACTTAACACTGTGGAGAGGTTCTTGGAAACTGCGCCTTTAAGTGAAATGAAATACTGGATGCTGCAGAAACCTAACTCTTATTTACATCAATTAGCCTGTGGCAAAACTGGTTTCATTATACATCATTTCACTTAAAGTTGCAGGTTCCAGGAACCTATTGATGACATTAAGTGAGAACTTACTCTACAAAATCGTATTAATAAAGTAATAATAAAACAGAATTTCTTCTCCTTAAATCACAGTAGATTATACTAAAAATCTCAAAATCTGTAAAGAAATGCCTTTTATTCCTGCTCCTGAAAGCTCCAGGAAGGCTGGATTTGCACTACAGTATTATTCACACAGCTCTGCTGTAGTGGAAAACAAACAGTTCTGTCCTGAAGTAGACACACTGAGAACTTGTTATTCTTTTTGCCTGATCAGTTCACGGACATAGTGATACCACATTCCCGGAGAACCAAGAGGATCACTGGCTCTCCACCTCAGACTCTCCGTTCAGTAGATTTCCCAGAACTGAGAAACCATTCAAAGTTCCATCAGATACCAACCAAATTTCATGATCAGAACTGAATGCCCAAGGGCAAAAATTTATAATTCATTTATTTTCCAGACCTGGATCATACAAGAATGAAAAAGTGACAGTCTTTATAAAATGTTAAAAATTCCAAACTGCGAAAGACTTGAAGTGACTAATAATCACTAGTTATATTCATTGTTCTTTAAATCTGTCTCCATGTTTCTCACACCTCATCACCCATTTCATCGCGGTTTCTGTAAGTATCGTAAGAAGAAAAAGTGTAGTCTATTACAGACCACATGCGAGTCTGCAGCTCTTCATGCTAAGTAACTTTTCTTTTTACAAGCTGAATTCATGCATATTAAAAGCATGACTATCATACATTCCTTCTGTTTTATGGGTTTTTCCCATAAATTTTCTCTTGGCAACTCAAAAACAATTGTCATTTTTAGCCAAAGAAAAATTCCTTATCAGCTCTTACAGATGTAGCTTTCTTGATAAGAAATCTCATATGGCTAAAACATATTTTCAGAACACATTTTTGCCCATATAAAACCTACATATACACAGGTTACATGGTGCATTAAACATTCTTGTTTTCTCTTAGGTTAGCAGAAAAGAATTTTTAAGCACCCAACTGCTATTGAGTTAAGTACTTAATATTAAGTTATCCAAAATATTTATGGGTATCTATGACAAAATTATGGCAGAGTCGATAAATATTTATTCTTTTTCACCTTTTTTCCAGTTTGTGAAGCCTAGTTGTGAAAGTAGATAGGACACTTTCAGGACTTGTGGGTAAGATCCTGTTTTCTCCTCCAGGACCTGCAACCAGTGTGTTCTCTATGCAGTATAAGTGGGCATTCCAATACACTTAGCAACATCTGGAATCTTTATTTTTTTAAACTCTGCATTTTCTTGGAATTACAAACCAAAGTGAAAAATAGGAACACTAAACATTTGGATTTTATAGCCAAGATTGAAAAGCATTTTTATCTATTCTGAAAATGGTACACGCATATTTTGTTGTGGACTATGATTTAGTCAGTAAATTCCAAATAATATTTGACTATTTCAAATTAGTTTAACATTCTATCAGTCAAGGTATATCAGTGTACATTGCAAAAGTACAATTTCCTGAAGATCTCCCCTGTTAGTCATCATAATACAAACCTCAAAGTTTTCTACTGTCTTTCTAAAGAGATAAACTAAAACTTAATCCTGATTCCTCTTTTAAAACAAGTGTGTCTCTTCAGAAGGAAAAACATGATAAAGAATAAAGCTATAAAATTACACTTATTAACTTCAAAATAATTCTTAATTTCCAAGTACAAGATCTTTTCTTGGGGAAAAAAAAGATTATGAGGAGGAAATATTATAAAATAAAATACATATTCAATATTTGATTATACAATTTAATTTAAAAAGTTAATATACAAGTAATAATAATGACAAATATGTAAACAGTATTTCCAAATCCTCTCCCAACCAATCAACTTTTATTTATTAACTGAAAGTGGATTATTTCAAGTATATAATTTACTATGAACTAATGGCAAAATAATTTTAGAAATCATAATAAAGAGTGGAAAACACTGTATAATTAGAATCTCAAGAAAATGTAGGGATATTTTACAATAAATTATTCCTCAAAATAATATTTTAAAGTAAAATTTTCACTTTTGGAAAAAAATAAAACAAAAACAAGGCAACAAGTTCTAGCTGAGTAATATTTACCTAAAACGCAGTACAAATATTTCCATTTAAGTTTCCCAGAACTTAAAAACCAGACTCACCTTATCACTGGAGTAAAAAGGCTATGAAGACGACAATATAATCTTACACCCTACGTAAAATAAAGATATATCAATAACGAGTGAGATCACCCCCAGAGACACACACATCAATGAAATTTTGAAGTAACAAATTAATTCACTGTCAATATTTGAGAATCATCACAAAATCTAAACCATTTTAAAAATTATTCCAATGTCATGATACATCATAAAATAATATTGTTTAAATCATTAAAAATAGGATTAAAATTGTGCTATAAATTCCTCATATATGACATACACATATACAAAAGTTTTTCTAAATTATTTCTCATAAAATATGAAATTTCTAACATAAACAAAATATACCAATACAGTAATACATCTATAATACTTGTTCATCATATATCAATAAAGTATTGTCAACTGTACAAAAAACTGGCATTACATTTATTTTACACATTTGTATTTTTTTTTAATTCAAGTAGTTTGACAACATGCTGCTACATGTGAAAGAATGTTCAATGGATATAACCTTGTGAGTGATGCAGCAGTACTACTATCATTTAGAATTAGGTAAGAGAATGAAAAAACAATTGAACATTAGAATTCTTGAAATACCAAAAATAAATAAAGAGACTTGCCTGTAATATAGTCAAATTTTCTAAACTAGAAAAATTTTGTATGTTTCTCAACTACCTTTTATCTTTGTGAAGAATGGCAACATGCATTCTAATATTGGAGAGGTTGAGGGAGAGGTCGTTACCTTTGAAATCACATCCTGCATCTCATTTCTTGGATAAAATGTTCCATCATCATAGCGAAATCTATATAACATCTGTTCTGGTTTGAACTGATGTTTATCAGTAACTAAGAATATAGAAACACTATATTAAAATAACGATACTCTAAAAGGGGGCAGATAAACAGCAAATAAATTTATTGAATACATATTCCCAAATACTAAAACTTCTAGTTTTACAAAAAGCTTTTCTAACACAGCAATACCAATCCAGTATTTTAACAGCAAGATTCATAACAATATTTTGTTTAAAATATTACAATTTCCATACAATGATTTGAGAAATAAATTGACGTTTGCCACATTCAACTATATTACAACTAAATATATATTCAAATATATGTATTTATATATGTACATGAGTATATAGTATGTATAAAGGTATACACAGTGTGTACATTTATATAAAGATATGATTTTGTGTTTTCTGTTACTTCACAATGCTACAAAGTTGAGCAAAAAGTGCTCTTCAAAGAGCAGATACTCAAACTAGTGCATTGTGATTTGGTTCTCAGTCCTACAAATGAATTTTACCATGTATCTGTTTTATCACACTGTGATCAGGCCAAGACCACACATACACCAACTTTGACCATTTATCCTGTGTTTGGACCTCCAGAGTAGCTTAAATCAATTTAGTATCTAACAGATGCCAAAATTGTAACTGTTCTTACATTAAGAATTGCTTTAAAATGTCAATGTTTTTTCTTATTGGAAAACGAGAGTGTTCATTCTTCATTACCATCCTCAAGATAAGACTTTTGTATTCATAAAGACTCCTATTCCCAGGACCTGATGCTTTCACTGATGAATTCTACCAAATATTTAAAGAACAATTAATTCCAATCCCTCAGACTCTTCCAAAAATAAAAGATAAAGGAACACTTCCAAAACTTATATTACAAGGCCAGATATGAATACTACAAGAAAAGAAAATTATAGACCAATATCACTGATGAACATGGATGCCAAAATCCTAAACAAAATACTATCCAACCAAGTTCAATAGCACAATAAAATGATCATATACCAAGATCAAGTGGGATTTTCCCTGAGAACTAAGGGTGGTTCAACATATGCAAATGAATAATTATGATGCATCACATTAACAGAATAAAAGATAAAAATTATATGATGATCTCAATAGAAGCAGAAAAAGCATTAGTCAAAATTCAACGTCCTTTCATAATGAAAGGTCTCAACAAATTTGGCATAGACGAAATGCACTTCAACATAACAGAGATCATATATGACAAGCCCACAGTTAACATAATACTCAATGGTCAAAAGCTGAAAACTTTTTCTCTAGAATAAGACAAAGATACCTACTTTCTCTACTTCTGTTCAACATAGTACTAGAAGTCCTAGCCAGAGCAATTAGGGGAGAAAAAGAAATAAAAGACATTCAATTGGAAAGAAGCAAAATTGTCTCTATTTGTAGGTGGCATGATCTTATATATAGAAAACCATATAAATTCCACCAAAAACTAATTCAGTAAACTTGCAGGATACAAAGTCAACATTTAAAAAAATCAGTAGTGTCTCCATATACTAACAATGCACTATGGAGAAAAGAAATTTTAAAAATGATCTCATTTAAAATAGAATCAAAAAATAAGATATAACACTTAGGAATAACACAAGAAGGTGAAAGATCTGTACACTGAAAACTATAAACCACTGATGAAAGAAATTAAAGAAAACACAAATAAATGGTAAGAAATCCCACGTTCATGGAAGTGAAGAATTAATTTTGTTAAAATGTCCCTGCTACTCAAAGCCATCTACAGATTCAATGTGATTTCTATCAAGATTCCAAAGGCATTTTTCACAGAAATAGAAAAAACAATCCTAAAATCTGTGTGGAAGCACAAAAGACCCACAATAGCCAAAGCAACTTTGAATAAAAGGAACAAAGCTAAAGGCATGACATTACTGACTTCAGACTCTGCTACAAAGCCATAGTGATAAAAACAGCATGGTACTGGATAAAAGCAGACATGTAAACCAATGGAACAGAATAGAGATCAGATCCCAGAAATAATTCCAGCTTTATGGTCACTTGATCTTCCACAAAAGTGCCAAGAATACACAACGGAGGAAGACAATCTCTTTGATAAATGATGTTGGGAAAACTAGATATCTACATGCAAAATAAATAAATTATTATTTATTAATTATTAATAATATAATTAATATTAATATATTACATGTTGTATTAATGATATAATAAACATAATATAATTAATATAATTTAATTACATTATTTAATTATTATAAATGGGACCCTTTATCTCACACCATATATAAAAATAAATTCAAAATGGACTAAAGACTTAAACATATGATGTAACACTATAAAACTACTAGAAGAAAAGATTAGGGAACAGCTTCTTGACATTTGTCTTGGCAATAATTTTTTGGAGAGGACCCCAAAAGTATAGGCAACAAAAGCAAAAACAGACAAATAAAAATAGACAAATACACTTGCATCAAACTAAAAAGTGTATGCACAGCAATTGAAAGAATCAATAAAATTAAAAGACAATCTATGGAATAGGAAAAATATTTGCAAACCATATATTCAATAGTAGGCAAATATTCAAAACATAAAAGAAATTAATTCAATTCAATACCAAAATTACAAATAACCCAATTAAAAATGAGTGAAGAACCTAAATAAATACTTCTCAAAAAAAGAAATAAAGATGCCCAACAGGCATATGAAAACTTGCTCAACATCTCTAATCATCCAGGGAAATGCAAATCAAAACTATAATAAGATATAACCTCACACCTCTTAGGATGGCTATTACCAAAAGACAGAAGTGTTGGTGAGGATGTGGAGAAAAGGAAACCCTTGTACACTGTTGGTAGAGATGTAAATTCATACAGCCATTTTGGAAAACAGTATGAAAGTTCCTCAAAAAGCTAACAATGGAACTACCATATGATCCAGCAATTTTACTTTTGGGTTTGTAATTCAAAGGAAATAAAATCAATGTGTCAAAGAGATATCTGCATCCCCATGTTCACGGCAGCATTACTCACAATATCATGATAAGAAATCAGCCTAAGTTTCCATGGATGGATGAATGGATAGATAGAGAAAATACGATATACTATATTGCAAACTTGAAAATTGATAAGAGAGTAGATCTTAAATGTTCTCACCACAAAAAAAGCGATAACTATGTGAGGTGATTAATACACTAATTAGCTTGATTGTGGTGATCATTTCACAATTTACACATATTTCAAAACATTTTATATACCATAAATATTTGTCAGTTATACCTCCATAAAGCTGGGAGGAAGGGGAGGGAATCTCCTACTAAATCTCTACGTTTTCTCTTTTTCAGGCTAAGTTGTTTTATATACTGTCTAATAAAAAATGTCTGTTTTAGAAAGTAAAAACCTCAAAGTAAAAGTCAAAGAGTTTATATTTAAATATTTTCTTTACAAGGAATGCAACATTTGCAGAAGAGATAATTTGCTGCAAAGAGCTATATTTTTATGATTAGATGAAAGACTTTGACCTTTACTTTTTGCTAGAAATGTTGAAAGAGGAAAGAAAGTTGTCAGAATTCTCATTAACTACATTTGATGCATCCAGAAGAAAGTCAAAAGACTTGTTAACACACACAAACACACACATACACATGTGAAGTTTCAGCTCTTTTACCCCAGCCTATCCAAACGTTCTACATGGCTTATGACCATAAATTGTTTTTTTAAAAAAAAAAAAAAAATACAATACAGCTTTTTGGTATCTTTTCCCCAAGCCAAGTCATACATAAAACAGACTGTATTAAAGAAATATAAAATCAAGAGAAATACTGTGAAACTCTACGTGTTTTAAGATCAGAATTTTTTTCTACTATGCAATCTACCTATTCCCATTTTTGTCCCTTAATAATCATTGAAATAGATTGTCTTGATATTCCAGAATTCAAGAAGTTGAGCCCAAATGTTTTTGCCACAATGAAACAAGTGGTAGTCTAACCTATTTGACAGGGAGAGCTTAGCTGTAAGGCAAATGCTTGTGAATAATGAATCTTGGGTTAATCTCAACTCTTAGCTGTTGCCTTAGAAAAACCCTGAACTGTTCTGCATTCGAATTTACTCTCCCAATTTATCTAGCATGGAAAAATAGGTGTATAAACTACAGTTCAGGTCCTCTAGTGAAGAAAGTTGCTTAACGCAATCTTTTAAATAATTGTGTGAGAGAGCCAGGGGTGTAGTGCAAATGTTTAACAATTGGCTCTCTAGGTGGTGAAGGTGGGGGGAGTAGAGGAGAAGTTCTGATTTGCGGCATTTGCCCATTTCTGTTGTATAAATACTCCCACTCTAACCAATATCAAGCTTCCAACCTAAAGTCACTGACCATGGAGTTAAAGGTGCGGTGGCACTCATTACACAGTATTTTCACTATACACAAGCAATAGATATAAATAACCTCGACAGCATAGATAATAGTAAAACATTGTAAAGTAATGAGAAAGTGATACATTTAAAGATTGTTTTACAAGTCCGGCATGGTGGCTCATGCCTGTAATCCCAGCACTTTGGGAGGCTGAGGTGGAAGGATTGCTTGAGCCCAGGAGTTCAAGACCAACCTGGTCAATATGGCAAGACCTCATCTCTACAAATTAAAACAAACAAACAAACAAATTATCCGGGCATGGTGGCATGCACCTGTGGTCCCAGCTACTCACAAAGCTAAGGCAGGAGGATCGCTTGAGCCCAGGAGGTTGAGGCTACAGTGAGCCATGATCACTGTACTTCTCACTCTGAAATTATTATGTTGTTTTACTTGTGTCTTTGTTTATTACCTCTTTATCTCCCTATACCTTCCCTGGCCTCCAATATACTCTAGCCTGCGCAACAGAGCAAGACCCTTCCCCCAACCCCCCAAAAGAGTGCTTTACCCTTTTTGCAACATAATTTATGCACTTACATGTTTATATAATTGAATTAATAATAATTGTGTTTAAAAACTAACCAGCCTACAAAATGTATTTAATTATCAGCTCTCAGGAGATTGTATGAGCCAACTTCAGCACACCATGGGATATAACAAATATTAATAAGATATGAGGTCTCTGTTCTCACATAAGCATTCCTACTGCAAAGAGTAGCACCAGACAAGATACATATTGTCAGCATACCACAAAGAAAGCATACGCGGCCTCAACCCTAGAGTTCCTGCTATAGCAAGGCTTTGCTGATGGCGAAGTTCTCAATCATATTTGCAATGTTAATAATAGCAGTAATAGTCAACTTCTTTTTTGCTTGCTCTCTTTAAAACAGATGGTTCATTCAACTTTATTTTAGGAATTCTATTTTCACCAAAATGCAGCTGGAACCACATACTAATGATACTAGTACATTTGGCTCATATCTCTTTATTCTAATATAATTATGCTACTAATGTGAAATTGCATAATATGTTCTCTCACCCCTAGTTTGCATGTCAACATGAACCAGCAACCTTTATTTCTTAGTAGTTTAAGTCTGTCATTTCACTCTGTCCATCAAGAAACCCAGCTGCTCTCACACTTCCTTCTAGAAAGGCAGAAATATGCTAGGATACAATGGGAGAAGTCATTTTTGCAGGAAATGTTGGGAAGAAAAACTAGCTGGTTTTCCACTGGCTAACACTAGCTACTGTAACAAACAAACCTCCCTAATATAGTGACTTAAGTTGTAGAAGCTAATTTTTCATTGAGGTAAAATCCAATCAGTGGTGGAGGATGAGGGATGGTGCTCTCCTCATGCAGGGTCTGGGGTCTGACAGAGGCTCAGCCATCTTTAATGCATGGCTCCCAGGGTCACCTTGTGTTTTGTGTTTTTTTAATAGCCTGTACACTTCCCTTGTGCATCACTTTTGTGTACATGTCCTTGGCTGCAACTCAATTTCACGGCCTCCCCTTGACTGCAAGGAAAACTAAGAAATGCAATGTATGCACACCCACAAAAAATAAAAGCTAAACCAATTTGGTAGACAACTACTCAATTTCTGCAACTGAGGCACAGTTCCCAGGACAATATAAGATCTATTCAATCCTATTAAAGACAGGGCAATTATTATATATGCTTGTTAGCATTTTACGATGTTAATATATAATAGTCATAATGTTATTTTTACTTTTAAATTTTTAAAGGATGCTTTTAGCCTACCAGATGCTAAAAGCAGCCATATAATGCTTTTAGATGTTTTAATGATGCTAATGAAACAAGCACAAAATCATATACAATCTATAAGTATCATCTGTTCACTCAAAATATAATCATTCATTCAGCCAATATTTATTGAGCACCTGTATGGGATGGGAATGCCAGGCATTTGCTATATAATAACAAATGAAGCTCTTGTTCAGATAGTGTTTATATTTTTATTGGAGGCCAGGGAAGGGATAGGGTGATAAAGATGTAATAAACAAAGACACAAGTAAAACAACATAATAATTTCAGAGTGATAAGTACATAAAGAAAGATTTCAAAGTAAAAAAAAAAATAGGACATTGGAATCACAGGACAGGATGGTCTAAAAGTCAAAGGGTCATGGAAGACACGAGTCGTGAATACAAGGATTTTTGTCTTTTCATTCACAGCTCTGTCTCTATCACTTAGAAAGGCTCCTGGCATATATTAGGGATTAATAAGTAACTGTTGAATGAGAAGAGCAAAAGCTAAGGTCCTAAATAGGAAGTCATCTTGGAGTGTTGAAGAAAGAGACAGAAGGTCAGGGTGGCCACCGTGCAACAAGTTAGGTACAATGCGAGGTATCAAGCTCTGAGAGGAAGTCAGGGGCCCTATCACATCGGATCTTGTAGGTCATGGTAAGAAGTTTAGGGCATGTAATAGGTCTGAACTTTTCTTTAAGTTTGATCGTAAGCAATTAGATGGTTATAAACAGAGGGATGCTTTGATCATATCCCCGTTTTAAAAGGTCACTTTAGCTGTGACCTGGAGAGTGTACTATGGGAGTGGAGAACAAAAGTGGAAGCAAAGGAGGAGATGACGTTGACTGGAAAGAAGGTAGGGATGCTGAAAGGGAGATAATTCATTGTTTAGGGACTTATTTTGGTAGTAGAGTTCACAGGGCTTGACGGTATGAGGGAGAGAAAGGAATTAAAGATGATTCCTGGCTGGGTGGATGGTGGTACCAACATGTAGGCAACACCTAGTGTGATAAGGAAAGATGGGAAAGATCTGGTTTGTTTGCACAGCATCTAAGAAAGGAAATGAACATCAAAATACCATAGCCAAACATCCATATTTATTAATAATTCCCTTTTTCTCCTCCTCCGCGATTTACCTTAGAAATTCTTTAAGCCTTTGTCCTGAGTCCCATCAACACTGCTTTCTTGGTTTTTGTCTGTTTGTTCATTGTCAGTGTTCCCAGGAGTCTAGTACTCCCTTGAAATGATTCCAAGTATGTCTCTCACCTTATTTCTATCCTGAGCTTCACCCCAAATTCTCAATCTCTTGCTGGCCACTCCCCACTGGCTATCTGACCCAGTCCATAGCAAAGCCTGCATCTTCTCTTTCAACTCTGCTCCTCCTCCTGAATTAGTTATCTCAGTCGTTCAGAGAAGAAGGCTCAGAATACTCTAGTCTCTCTCTTCCTTCTTCATCATCCGCATCCAAAGAGTTATAAAATATGGTATTTTAGCTTTGCCAGAATCTCCCCATGGGTTTTTTCATGCCCATGGATGCAGACCTGCTAAAGCCCTTGTACTGCCACCCCTGGGTGCAGCAGGGCCCCCGGAGGGGCCTGGTGCTTTGCAGTCTTGAACCTCTCCACTTCAGGCTCCATGCTGCTGCATCTCATAGCTGTGGACCCGAGTTCTGATCATGGCTCTCCTTAAAAGCAATCATCAGCTCCTGGCCCCCTTCAGAATAAGCCCAAATGCCACAGCAGACTTCAGATCTTCTGGAATCCAGGCTCTGCCTGCCTTTTTGCCACACCTCCCCTCGCCAGTATGTTCATCCATGGACCCACATGAGGCTCTGTGCTGGTCCCCAAAGAAGCCACCACAAACTCACCCACCACTGTGCTGGAGTGCTGTTATTTCCTCCAGGTGGAACGCCCCGCTGCCCTGCAATCCCTGGCAGAGTTCTATTCATTCTGCAATGCCCAGCATCACTGTCATGTCCTGTCCTCCAGGAAGCACTCCCAAATCCTCTAATTACTATAGAAGTAACCATGCCTTCCTCCACAATCCCACTTCTCTATTTTCTAACACTTGCCTGTATTGAAGCTCTTCATTTTAAGGTTAACAAAGATAGCCCTATAAACCCACACTCCCTGAAACACTGTTCTACACATATTAGGTACTGAAAATGTTGTTAAAAACAATAAGCATCCTATAATGTGGGGAATTGTAGACTAAACTGATGAATGGGATTAAGATACATATGGTGAATAAATGTATTAAACAAATAATTAATAAAGTAATTACCATGGTGAATGATTCCATTTTCTAATAATGCTTGTCCCAAGTGCACACCTTCCTCAGGCCTGTGAATCTCTCCAATTTCCAACAGCCATGACACAAATTCGCTGCAACAGAAAGCCAGTGAAAAAGCTAAATGGTTAATTTTTTCCCCAGCAAGTCTTTCCATACCATCCAGTCATGAAGCAACGATGAAAGGAATCTCAAAATATAAAGGAATATTTGCAACACATTTCAACAGATTATTTTTTCACATATGTGAGGCCTACAGCCATTTAAGTTGAACTCTATTCTAGAAAACCCATGCCTGTACATTCAGACATTACTACACTATACTTAGTTTTAAACTGTTCAACTTGTTGAGGCCTCTAATAAACACAAAGTGGAAATTTTAGAGTAGCTTCAATTAGAAGGTTAGCATTAACATAAAGGCAAATGTGGGACTAAAGGATTGCAACAGATCCTAAAGACAGCTAAAGTCAGAACTGAATAGAGTAGTAACAACTTAATATAAAGAGGTAAGCTGTCTTTAATGTGGTTCCCAGGCACAGAGAACCAGTGAGTTTAAAGATCCAGGAAGGAAGAACAAAACAAAACCGCATGTACTGTGTGATAGGTAGGATTCTACAGAAATCCTCTCACTGTCCTCCTACCATACCAAGATTCCCTCCCCTTGGTTTTTCAATTAAATTCTAATCTAGGTACTGCTCTGAAGGGACTTTTGCATATGTAATTAAAACCCCAAGTCAGTAGACTTTAAAATATGTAAATTATCCCAGTGGGCCTGATTCAGGGAGTGGAACCCTTTGAAGCAGAGTTTTCTGAGGCTAGTGGCATGAGAGGAAGTCAGAGAAATTAAAAGCATTAGAAAGATTCTATGTGCCACTGCCAGCTCTGAAGATGGAGAGGACCTGGTACCAAGATACGCAGCCTGCAGAAGCTGAGAGCAACCCTTGGCTGACAGCAAGGAAACAAGGACTTTATTCTTGCAGCCTCAAGGAGCTGAATCCTGACAACCACCTGAGTAGGCTTGGAAGGGAACTTTCCCCCAGAGCCTCAGGATAAGAGCCCCGTCTGGCCAGCACCTTGATTTTCGGGTCATGAAACCCTAAGCAGAGAACCCACTTGAGCGCTCTTGGACTTCTGACTGGTGTTGTTTTAAGCTGCTAAGTATGTGTTCATTTGTTATACAGCAATAGAAAACTAATGTACACCAAAAGACATATAAAAGTTTTACTACATTGTTTTGAAAATGTGAAATTACTTGGTAAATTCATTATTGTATCTCATCTGTCATCCATAAGGAATCCTCCAGCACAGAACCATCCATCAGAACTGTCTACCACACACTGCTGCGGCTGTGAAGGCCACAGTGGATTATAGGTTACATCTGTCACCACTGCAGGGCAGCCCCAGGCATCACAGATAATAAGGATGATGTTTTGTATCACTTAGGAGAGCCTCAGCTATATAGCGATTAAAAAAAAAAAAAAGGGTCCCATGGTATCATTAAGGGAACACTAAATACAGAGACATTTTACAAATAAAAAATATTATGTTGCTCATGTTTTAAAAGTCTAACATTTGAACTTTTATATAAATGATTGAATTTGTTGTAGACTGGCTTTCTTTTTTTGGTTAGAGAAACAAAGCTATGGACTGCATCAGGAAATTATTTCTTCATTAATTTCATAAACAAAAGCAAGAAAAATGACTAATGTCAAATAATTGAGGGATATAAAATTCTAAAAATGGGTTGTCTAGACTACAAAAATAAGGCAGAAAAAGTTAAAAAAATTTTATTCTTTTATTAAATAAGAACCATTCAAAACCATTGCTTTTCTATTGCTGCATAACAAATTCAAAAGAAAAATATAAGAAAAGGTGAAACAAAGTGTAGCAGTTAATATCATGTACTTTGCCATAAGACTATGGGGACTCAAATCCTGTTTCTGTTTCCACTACCTGCATGACCATGAGTTCATGAATTTAGCTCTTTAAACCTCAGCTTCTTCATTATTAACATAGAGATAATATTAAGAATGTCGTGCCAGGTACAGTGGCTCATGCCTGCAATCCCAGCATTTTGGGAGGCCGAGGCAGGTGGATCATTTGAGGTCAGGAGTTCGAGACTAGTCTGGCCAATATGGTGAAATCCTGTCTATACTAAAATAAAAAAAAATTAGCCAGGTGTGGTGGCATGCACCTGTAATCCCAGCTACTCGGGAGGCTGAGGCTGGAGAATCACTTGAACCCGGGAGGCAGAGTTTGCAGTGAGCCAAGATCATGCCACTGCACTCCAGCCTGGGTGACAGAGTGAGACTCCACCTCAAAAAAAAAAAAAGAATGTCAATGTCATAGTGCAGCCAAAGGATTAAATGAGATGACAGATGTCAGGAACTCAGCATGGGGCCTGGCACACAGTGAGCTTTACTAACTCAGTGGTTGACAAGTGGGTTGAGATGGTTGTTATGTAGCTAAGGCATAATTCTCTAGTCTGATGGCACTAGATTCCTGAAAATGTCCAATTACAATGAGGGAAAGAGCCACTTTAAATATTGCTATAAACTGGAAACATTTTTAAGAGTGAGAGGTCAAGAGTAAAGGAACCCAATGAGTGGCTTTATCATTGGCCCTACTGAGGGAATGGGGAAATTCCATCAACACTCTGCTAAAGGACAATGATCCACGCAGAAATGATCTCAAACTTGCACTGTAAGCAGCAGTAGTGTGCTGTTATGGAAAAGGCCACAATAATCTAACATTTACTGAGTCTCTCCTACCTATCAGGTGCTCTGGGAGAAGCTTCATATAGCATCACAATGAACTTGCACTATTCCCATAGGACATAGCGTGAGTGAAGGGTTAGCAAAATGTATTCTTCTTCAATAAAAACAAATTTGGCCCTGGGCTAACTTTCTATCATAGCTATGCTCCCCTAGACACCTGACGAAGGTAGTGTGTCAACTGCTGAACTAGGCAGCATTGCAATGGTAAAAATGACCCCTGGTGGCTAATTTGCATACCTATAAAAACCTAGTGGGAAGCCATAACTTGAAGTCACTCTCTTGCAAGTGGGCATATCCCAGTGAGGACCCTGAAAGTTATGCCCATGGGGTGGGTACAAGAGATAGTGTTGCTTTGCTACACAGGGCTTCTATGCCAAGATAAACTCACATCTTCTCTTTCCCTTGCACGAGAGCTACTACCACCTAAGGGGTACCTACAAGCAACAGTATAGCTCACTGGCAGATGTGTAGCCTGCTGGGAGGATTACTCCCAGGGAAGAAGAAAGCCAGACGCTGCTCTGCAGGCAGAGGTTTTCCTGGCCTATAGATTTCTGAGTTGGGGGTTGGGAAGTGTATTAGCTCTTTTTCACACTGCTGTAAAGAACTTCCCTGAGACTGGGTGTATTAGTCCATTCTCACACTGCTATAAATAAATACCCAAGATTGGGTAATTTGTAAAGAAAAGACATTTAATTGATTCACAGTTCTGCATGGCTGGGAAAGCTTCAGGACACTTACAATCATGGCAGAAGGGGATGCAGGCACACCTTACATGGCAGCAGGTGAGAGAAGGCAACTGAAGGAGGAAGAACCCCTTATAAAACCATCAGATGTCATGAGAACTCACTCACTATCATGAGAACAGCATGGGGGAAACCACCCCCATGATCCCATCACTTCCCACTAGATGCCTCCCCTGGCATGTGGGGATTACAACTTGGATTATAACTCAAGATGAGATCTGGGTGGGGACACAGCCAAACCATATGAGGGAGGCAGAGGTAGCCTATGATTATGTTGTATGTTCCCATCGCTGATCAAAAAGACATCCTACTGAGCATTGTAGGTAAACTCTACCATCATCTCCACATTTTCAGAGCAAATGGAAACTTAACCATCCCAAATCACACAACAAATTGGTGGTACTACTAGGAGCTGAATAGATAAGTTTGATGACAGTCTAAACTATAAACTACCACTCCAGCCTACTTTATAAACTTGGGCATTGGTATTCACTAACAATATGCAATTGTTAAGCTCCCTGATCCATAGTTTCTGTATCTTCAAAAAAGTATAAAGGTATTTAACTCCTACCTAAGTATGTATTCCAGCATTAGAAATAATATATAGGAAGAAGTCAGCACAGAGGCTGGCCTAAAAAGAGCTACTTGAAGGCAGCTAACCTTCTTTCTGGCCCTGCACTTATTAACCCAGTCAAGGAATCCCACTTTATGCTGTCCAAAGGAACCAAACAACACTCAGTCACTCTGCTCTACTCTAAAAACTAAAGTGACCTCTCTGCCTATTGCTCACTGCCTGTCTCTTTACACGACCCACATTTTCAGACTCTTCACCTACACCCTTTATCCTGAGTCCAGCTGCCTAAATTCTAAATTAACTGGTAGTTCAGACTGTCTCTTATCTTCTCTGTCTTTCTGACTTTCAGGCCCTATACACATGTCCGTGCCCAACCAGTCATCCTGTCCCCTGCAGGCAAACCCACCTGCCTATCACTCCTTGCCTGGACCCAACCTCCCTTTCCCCTGGGATCATGACATATCAGGAATCTGAGAAGTCATGAATGAATGGACGGATGCCTTAAGTTTCCTGGTCATGATTCTGGCTCTCTGTCCATTCCTTCATCCTGTTACAGCCCAGGAAATGGCAACTGTAAAGAAGTTTTCAGAAGTGCCAAAGGAAATATTTTTAAAGGAAAACTAATTGAAGGAAAGTTAACAGGTGAGATAATGAGAATGTAAAATAAAGTCATGCACCCAAACTCCCAACCCTACCTTCCAAGAAAGCATTTAGGGAACGTAGTCAGTTTTCTTTTTCTGTCTTTGATCAGATTTCCTTGTCTGCACATCATTTTATAAAGTTTCTCACCCTGTTCAGAAATCATTACCCAGGTATCTTGCTCCATTCCTAATTTTAAACCTATCAAAAATGAGAGAAAGGAGAGGTAACTGAAAACTCTCTTCATTCATTCATTCAGTTGTGCCTTCATTAAGCAAGCATTTGTTGTAGGTCTACCATGTGCTGGGGGTTGTGGATACAGACCCCTGTATAATAGTGCCCTGGTGTTCAAGAAGCTCAGGGGCCAGGGAGACCTGCAAGGCAGGGCTTCCAGGATATATGTCACCTTCATGCAAATTGTGCCCCAAAGGCATAAAGCTTTAGTCAGAGGAATAAGAAGAGCAGCTGAGTCTCAGCCTCCATTGAGTCCTGGACCAGGCACCCTTGCTCAGGTTTAGATCAGCAGAACTGGACAGAGTAGTCATAGAGACAGTTCTGGTGGGGAAAAAAAAAAATGTGATATAATGGAGGCATACTCAGGCTACCTCACCTCTCCCTGAGAAATGTTAAGAAAGGTTTCACAGAAGGGACCTGTCTTGAATGCACAGGTATGAATGGGGGTTTCTAGAGAAAGCAGAGCTAACTCATTTGAAGCAACATGGAGGTCCAGAGCTATGGGTTGTAAGAGAAAAGACAGGAGATGGGCTGGTAGGATAGCCAAGATCCTTGCTCAACCTGCAGTTTCAATTTGTTTCATTCCTTAGGTATTGGGCACGCAGCTAAGTGTTTTAACCAGTGGGAGGAGCAAGGTAGGGTAGTGCGGGAAAGAAAGTTGTGTTGCTTTGGAAACAAAGCTCAGAGGACAGTATGGGGAACAAACTGAAGAGGGAAATATTTAAAAAGAGGGACACTGTTAGGAGAAACCTCAAAAGTTCAAGGAAGTTCAACTCACTGCGAATAAGGGTAGGGCCATAGGGCAAAGAGGATGAAGTTGAGAAAGAGTTAGGAGGCGCTATTGATAAGATATTGGTTAAATGTGGGCATGGAATAAAGAGAAGAAATCAGATGCCTTCCGGGCTTCTGACGAGAGTGACTGAATGGATGCAGGGAGGCATATTGGGCAAAGGCATCCAAGTAACCAGGAGTTCGGTGGGTACCGAGTATGCATAGTGTAGACATTCAGGTGGGAGTTCAGGACTCAGGTGAAAACATGAGCATGCCCAGGGGAGGACTGGGTATGCCTAGTGTGGACATTCAGGTGGGAGTCCAGGACTCAGGTGAAAACATGAGCATGCCCAGGGGAGAGGGCAAGGCTGGACATAAAGTTTAACAAATCGGCAGTGTATAAGTGGAAGTTAATCTGATGGGAATAGATAACCAAGACGAGGAATGTAGTTAGAGAAAAACAGTGCCAAGCTAAAGAAGGAGAAATATTTGTATTATTTTTAGTCGTCTAGCTGCAAAATTTCCTACCAGACCTTTATTTTTGACAATGCTGGAGCCATTAACATCTGTCTTTATTCAAAAATGATACCTTAAGAATGGAGTCTAATAAAGATAAATATAAAGATAAAGATCATAAGCAGTTTTAGAGAATGTGCTTTTTCTCTTGTTTGGGGGTTTTTATTTTTATTTATTTATTTTTTTTTTTGTCTTGGGTGAATCATACTCACGCTTAAAAAAACAAAAAATGCTCAACTTGATTGAAAGCTTGATTCACCTTTTAACTATTTGTTTGCTATTTGAATTCACTGCTACGTTCAACAAAACTTAGAGTCAGTCACATATTCATAAACTTTGTTTTAAAATTTTCTATCTGGTTCTTCATCCAGGATCAACCGAAGGAGTATTTGAAAACGCTCTGGAAATTCTACAAGTATGTACCATGAATATTTCAATCAAGGTAGCAACCTTGCATATTCTTCAGGGGAAAACATTTGAAGACGGAAGAGAGAGTTCTTTGTGTTCTGAAATTTCATTACCAATGAGGTGTTTTATTCTTGGGTCTCCAGAAGTAATCAACAATGTCATGCTTCTTAATTAAGAAATCAGTTGTTAATTAGTAGAAATACAAGCATTTCTATTTCTGAGCTGAATTATAGAAATATGCCTTTTTGCAGATAAACTTCACACTGGTGAATATAGCCAGGCCAAATTCCTTTTGCAAATTTTTCTAAAAGCATAACACAAATTCGAGATAGGCCTCCTCACATGAACAAACAACTAATTGGGTTACATTGTATTATATTCATAGACCTAACAATTTTTAAAAGTTTGTATAAATCCAGAGTGCTTTAATCTATAATTAGGAATCTAACATATTAGGTCTAAGAAATTTTAATGTTCTGTTAAGTACACAGAGAACAATTGGAAGCTTTACAACACTGCATTATGTTACTGAAGCTTGTCACTTAAAGAAAAATTTGGTAATGCTGCTTTAGAAATACCAAGAATAAAATGAAAAGAAAATTGAACAAATTTTCTATTTTAAAAAACTATTTAAAAGACACTACCAGCCATAACAATTATTTTGCTAACTATATAAGTATTACATAACAATTTTGTAAGTATCAAATAAGTCTTTTATCAAATAAGTATGAGGCTCACGTCACATAGTATTAGGTTGGTGCAGAAGTAATTGCTTTCAATGTCAAAACCGCAATAATTTTTGCACCAACCCAACAAGCAACCATCATATACCTTTCTACTTTCTCATGATTTCCCATTATCTACTCCTATGCTAAGTTAGAATCTTCGCTAACTATAATAGTGCCCAATTCATACACCCACCTTTCCGCCGTTCTCTTTCTTTCAAAATAGCTTCAAACCATTCATGCTTCTCTTCAGGTGTTTTTGCCATACAAACAAACCATTTATTTTTTGCTGTGTTATGTATCTTCCATCCATTAACAACAATGTGTCCACTGCTATGGAAATCAGCTGTAAATTAATGGGTAAAAGCAAATGAATAAAATGTAATACACAATATTATTATATCAACACTATCATTCAATACATAAAAGTTCCAAAACCACTGAATTGTTCAACATATCTTTGCTTTATATATGCATTTTGTAAAACGTACACATTTAAAAATTTTAAGAATGCGTTTATATTGCAGGCAGTCAGTTCTTAATAATGGAACATTTCTAGCTCGCAGTGTTAATACATTACATGAAACTAAACACTACAAAAATAATTAGCACTTATATGCTCTATGCTAAAAAATATTGTCAAAGTTTCTAAAGTAATAAAAGAACAACATGCAAGGTATTTTCTTCTCAAACATTCCAGATGTCTATTTATTTTATCTTTCTAATATTTTTTTGAAATAGCATTCTAGGTTTCAGAGACAATTTATGTCCCACGGAACAATTTTCTATTATTTAATGAACTGCACACTAAGGATTGGCCAACGGAACACACTAAGAGTGTAATTACCTAAAACTGCAATAAATGGAAACATACAAATGCCAAAGCATTATCACTGTACATGGTCGAGACATACACTCTTTAAACCCATTTCATTACATTTATGTCACATAAATAGAAACTTATGAAAAAATTGTTGAAGATAAATTTACATTTAATTGTCTTTTTTGATACCTCACCACAATTTTGGGTAAACTGTCATGCTGGGTTTGAAAATGTCAACAGCAAACTCTATACAGTAGTTCTCTGTCTAACAGCAGGTAGAGAATAGTGACATAACTTGCAAACGACCTTTACTGGCACGACAGTCCCTGCAAAGCAAAGATTCCAAGATGGAAAAACCTATGACAGAGGCCTGAGTCAGCACCTGTACCAATTAAAGTGACCCTTTTCATGTGTCTCTCCTGAAAGTCATTCAGCAGCAAAGGCCAGTGTTGAGGAGGTAAGCCATAACAAAGTTAAAGGTGGTTTAGAAAATGACTTTGTGGTACTTTGCTTGTTTTGTTCTTTTCTTTTCAGATGATCTATTTTATGAAGTTTTCGAGTAGAAACAAATGTGCTTGGCACTCATTCTCCCAGAATCTGGTTCCCATAGTCTTTTTCATTAGCTCCAAAATCACTACACATTATATGAGGTCAGACTAATAATACCACAAATCCATTATCAAATGATGCTGTTCAGTTGTGGAGTATTTAAAGCTTCCAGATTACTTTTGAGTCAAAATAGGATGACATTAGACATTAGTCTGTATTTTCTATAGGTGCCATAATACATGAATAATCAGTAATGACTTCTGATAATATAGAGATTTAAACTGGCAGATCCTTCCCTCCCAAAAAATTACAAGCAATTTTTAAAAAGATTTTTTGTACTATTGTTACCTTCGTGTGTTTAATTCATGTTCCGATCCTACACAAAGTAAGAGAACTTCATAATTCATGTCAGATAAGTATTCATGAGCATTAGTAGGAAAATAAGAATATTACTTCATAATTACAGTGCAATTCCTCCTTAATATCTATAAAAATAACCAGCTGAGAAATTATGATAAACTGGTGGGAAAAAATTCAGAAATTCTCAAATTCTACAAGTTTAGAACTGTCCCCCAACCCTGATCACTTGTAACCTAGCAAGACCAGAATCACAAACAAGCCCAAGCTTTTTTTCAGGCTGTCTTCTCTCTATTAAGTCAGGCTATGATTAGCTAAGTGAACCTGGCACCTGCAGCTTAAAAGATCCCACATGGCCACTCAGGTTACTACACCTTTAACCATTACTCTAGATAAAGAAAACCACAGTAGCCAAATGCAGCCTACAGTCATAAACACTGGACTCACTCCAAAATGAACACAGTGTAGCCCTCCCACAGAGCACAGGGAACACAGGTTCACATGCCAAAATCATCCGGGTCATGCTCCTGACACCACACAGGTGTACCCCAGGACCAGCCATCTCTATAACAGGGGGTTTTCCTTCCTTTCTTTCCTGGAGTGAGTCTGGTCACTGGCCTCTACACACCCTGCTGGCCCTCCCTCAAATATTTTTCATCAGGCCACTTCTTAGCTCAAAAGCCACCCATTGGGTGTCTCACCACTGAATCAAGTCAAAACTACATGTAGACTTTGCTTTAAAGATTCTTCCCAAACTAACTCAACTCTGTCTAACTCCTTCTGTTTTCCACTCTGTTCTAATGCCTTCCCACCATGCTTTTCTCGTCTGCTGCTTTCCTGGTTGTCCTGTGAATACTTATGTATTCCCCAGGCTGAGTTTCTCATCAAGCTACCCCACACTCCTCTCTGCCTCACAGATTCTTACTCCTCTTGAAAGTGGACCCATCTCCTCCATGAAGCCTGGCCTGACCAACTGAGCCAGTGCATACACATTTCTTTTGGAAAGCACATATAATTCAACTCGGAATCAGATAAGTGAGCATGTGATTGATCACATATGGCTACTGTCTCAATGTACAGAAACCAAGATCATTAGCTGACTGTAAAATCTACTAATATGGTTTGGGTCTGTGTTCCTGTGCAAATCTCATGTCAAATTGTAATCCCCAAAGTTGGAGCTGAAGCCTGGTGGGAGGAGATTGGATACTGGGGAAGAATTTCCCCTTTGGTGCTGTTCTCATGATAGTGAGTGAGTTATCGTGAGATCTGGTTGTTTAAAAGTGTACAGAACCTCCCCCGCCCCTCTCTCATGCTCCGGCTAGGAAGACGTGCCAGTTTCCCCTTCACTTCTCACCATGATTTTAAGTACGCTGAGGCCTCCTCAGCCACATGAACTATACAGCCCACAGAACCATCATCCAATTAATCCTCTTTTCTTTATAAATTACACAATCTCAGGCAGTTATAGCAGTGCAAGAATGGACTAATACATCCACTGTCTCAAATAACAGCTTAATTGCTGCACTAATATTTTAAAAGAACAGCTTGTGTCAAATAATTTTACGTGAAGAAATAATGTTCCTTTTTAAAGTTTATATGCTAGCTAATTTCTATCACACCAATTTTAAAAATCATAAGTAATTTTAAACATATATGCACATACACTAACACACATATACAATTGAATATACACACCACAGGCCTCAAAATGTAGTATACATACTTCATAATAGCATCAAAATTACCAAATGTTATACAAAATTAGCAATTGCTTCTCATTTTTTTCAAAAGCTACAGAGACATATAAATAGCTTCACAATTTTAATCATAGTACATTGTCCAAAATCTTCATACTTCAAAATAAAAATTAAACTTATCCATAAAGAACACCCTCACTAAAGTCATTAAAAAGTCCAGCATTGCTTTGTACTTAGTCAGAATTTGATTTAAAAACTTTAAGTGAAAGAATAAATAATTTATTAAATGGCAAATGCAGGAATTTCCAAGCTTCAATGGATCTAAAATGTTAATTTTATAGGAAGAATAGATTTTAAACTGCCATTCCTTAAATGTTGAATATCCAAATTCAACAGTCTTTAGTCACAGATTTCTTCCAAAAACAGAAAAATCCAAGGGACAGACCTGAACAAGTCACTAATTACTTGAAGCTATACAGTTTGCAAATTCCTTGCTCTTATTTCACTACAGTTTCATATAATTAGATGGGATTTTTCCAAAACTGATACACTATAAATCTCAGTGGACGTGCCAGTATTCTTTCAATAAATTTGCATTTCAATGAGATGGAAAATATCCAAGTATTATAAAAAGGTTAAGAAACAGAAGAAATTGCCAGACTATGTTATCGAAAACATCAAGAAACTGATGTCTAAATAATGTATTCAATCCTTGTCCTGGAGATCAACACTGTGAATTCATAAATTTCTAAGGGAAAATTTCAAACTTGTAATTTGTTCATAAATATTTAACATTGAGAAAAAATTTTTGAATAAATTTCCAGCATCCCAGATAGCATATGATATTATTTTGGGCAAAAAAAAAAAAAAGATTCTAATTGACTTTTCCTTTTAAAAATCTAAAAAGTAGTTCATCCCTTGACTTTTCTGAATTCCCAAATATATTCTGTTAAATTAATAACATTGAAAATGTATTTTTAAAAAACTATTATATTCTTATATTCTTTTCAACATTTGTTAAGCCATTGTTACTTTTTAATTAAGAACATATTCAATCCAGCTTACGCAACAATACTACAGTTGTGAAAGTAACTGGTTTATCTAGTCAGTAGACTGGTATGCAACAATAAATACTATTTTTGGTGATAAGGCATGAAGATAAAGATGATGATCATTAAGATAATACAGGTACTCGATTTAAGCGAAAAAGGATACAAAATTATAAAGTTCACATTTTCAAGCATTTTTAAATCTGTGCATGAAAAGGAAAATTGCAGGAAATATTTTGTATATAGTCTTATGTATTTGTCTTCGTATGACATTATTATCTAATGTTTTTTGCCTTTATATTTTTCTGCAGTTTCCAAAGTTTCTTTAATAAGCACAATTTAATTTTATAAAAATAATGTATTCAATATATTAAAATAGTTTCAAGTATTTATATCTAAAGGGAGAGCTAAATTGTTTTAATTGACTTACTTTCAAAGAACACCTTAAGAATAAAAAATTTTCATCTTATCCAATTCAAATTTGACGAATGTATTGAAATCTATGGTATGCCCAACACTGAACTACAGACCACATTTTCTAAAGGTCAACATTCTCACCCTCTGTCCAACCATAGAAATAAACTGGTGCATAAGAGAGAATACTAATGATCTGGTACTACTTTCTAAATGGCTTTTCAGGCATGCACTATAAAAATTACCATGAAAATTAATTCCAGGAAGTTCAATAGCTTTCCTACTATTGCCTTTAAGCTGAATTTTCTTTAGAGCATCATGATCAAACTAGTAGTCCCAGAAAGAATCTTCAAAGAATTACTTAGATTCACTGAGAGTTGAAATCTGAAGAACGGTTGCATGGAAATTTGGCCACAGATGCAAGGGTCAACATCTGCCTTGAATATAGGAATTAATGAATAACATGGAAAGACTTAAATAAATATATATACAAATTTTTGCACTTTTGCACATCATACTATCATTTAAATTTCTTTCTATACTAAGATATAACTATGATATAAACTAAGTCATTAAGTATTATGAATAAAATTACAATAATATTATTTATCAAAAGATTCAAGATGTTTACATGTTGGCTGAAAACTTTAGTCTCATCCCAAGTACAATTAATTTTTCTGCAAGTTTTGAGCTATATCAATGCAATTAGTCATCTGATAGAGCTTCTTTCTTAGAAAACTATTTTATTATACACACAGTATACAAAAATACTCAGTATTTGTATAATTCAAATGGAAGAAAAACTTTTCCATTCCATTTTCCATCACAAGTTCTAAGTGCTAGGTACAGTGGTGCATGACTGTAGTCCCAGCTACTGAGGCTGAGTTGAGAGAATCATGAGTTCAAGTCTAGCCAGGGCAAGATAATGAGACTCCTCACCACCATCCCATCTCAATTTAAGAAAAGGAAAAAAAGTTCTAAGCATGCTTAAAAATATATATATATATATATGTGTGTGTGTGTGTGTATATATATATATGCGTATATACTATCTGACTTCCTCCCAACTCAGGTTCAAAGTTGGACATTTGGGGAGTCTCTTGAACATTAAGGTTACAGAGGCAAGATAACTCTTAGCATGTTAGACAGATAACTTTTCTAAATGTCACTATATAGTCTTCTTAGAAAGCACGGAATAAATTACTGCTACCTTGTAAAAAATAATGTGTAAATCCTGCTATGGAAAGATAGCCAACTAGGTCCCATATGTTAGCATGGGAGTATCTGCAACTGCATTACAGTCTGTGGCATAGATACGGATTTGAATTGGGACATCTATCTGTGCCAACTGCCTGGCAACTTCACACCACCCCACAGTTAGCCACTGAGGAACCTCTCTACTGGATGAGCACAATAGCATGGCTCCGAAGCTGAGTGTTCAGTCTCAGGCACCACCTGAGTTTTGCTCATTGCATTCCTTTTTCCCCTTATCTACAGCAATCACAGTTCATTATTGTAAGTACTTGACAATTTATTCAGATGCTAACAACGGTATTGAGAAATTGCCTACAGGTGAGCATTTGAAATTCTGTGCTTCTGACAGATTATAAATATCCTTCTCCCCTCTGGGACCCCAGAGTGACAATGAAAGTATGTGAGAGGTGGAGGGAGTTTATCTGTGTCCCAATCCCATATGTATAACGAATATAACCAAAGTATTTATTTATATGAAAGCAAAAGACATTTAGCAACAGTTAATATATTGCATTTCATCTTGTCTTTTCTCCTAAAAGCATATTTTTAAAATTCTAACTAAAATCATTGGGGGAAAATGGAATTCACTTTACTAAGTGAATTTATTTTAGAGACTTTTTTTTTCAAATGGAAAGTATAATTTATTTTAACTTTATTTTACTTAATGTTTGTGACTAATCATAATTTCATAAATTAGCTTATAAAACCCCATACTTTCAAATCTATAAAGCAAAAAGTTACTACCTTTGAGTAATAAGATATTTAAAACAAGCATTTAAAATTACACAAACCACCTCCATCCACAATTAGCTTACAAGCAAATTGACAACCTGTCTGTATGAATAACAACTACATAGCTAAGACAAATCTAGAGTTTGCTATATTCTACAGCGAAAATACTATAGGAACAAAACATCATTCTTATGCTTATAAAATAGCATAACTAAAGAAAATTCATTTATTAACTATTTTCTGCACAGTGCTCTCTGTTCCAGTCCCATGAATGCCATGGGACACTACTCGGCTATTTCTCTGTATCTATGTTTCATGTTAGTGTGTTTTGGCTATATATAATTTTCTACTTTCACAGTAGTCCTCCCCTCCCTTATCTCACCTTTCTCTTTCCTCTACCCAACAACTTTACCTAACAAAGTATTTCTAAGTTCTAATACACGGCAAGTGAATTATCCAAGTGAGAAATCTGTCGTACAAAGGAATTTACTACTTACCATTGGCATCCCATTTAAAATCCACAGATCACTTACCAGTGCCATCATCCACATTCTCCACTTCCATCACCTCCGTGTTGATCCGGCCACGAAAAAGGTACCGATGTCCATCTGTAGATGCCTTGCTGTTCTTCAATCGTCTTAAGATGGAATTAAATCAGAAAGACTTTGTTACTAAACAATGTAAAACAATGTCAAAACAATATATTTTAAGCAATTCTTTGAAAAAAGACAACAGTTCAACTGACAATATCAAACATTAGACTCCTGGAGATCTTTACATTTGTCCTCCCTCTCATAACAGCACTGGTTGCTTTAATGAAGTATGAAACTTGCATATTAATTTTTAAAAATAAATTCAAGTTTTAAGCTAAGGATAATATACAGGTGGGAGAGTGAGTATGTGTTTTGCTCAATATAAGATCAGCAGTGCCCAGTCAGACTCTGACAGACGCTAACAACTGGTCATTTTAAAATTTCATTTGAGTTTCTTTCACCTTCATGACTCATTTTTCAGTAACTAGCAGGTAATTTCCAGTTAGTACTTATGATCCGTCTTCAAAGAATTGCCTGTGCTGGAGGTTCTTAAGCTCAGTGATATCCAGCTATAAAAATATTTCTCCTATCATAGTGTTATAATATAATCACTGTATACTTGTTGAACAAGTCTCTTAATACCTTTGCAATCCTTCAAAAAGGCCTTATTTATTTCTAAAACACCCAAAACATTTCAAAACTATGTATATATTATATCTAGTGCCAGCTTTTAATCTTAAAAAGTATATAACACAAAGTCAAAAACCCAGTTTACAGACAACCATTTCTAACAATGAATTAGGAAGTTATATATGTTTGTATTTGAATCATTAAGCACACAGGAAAAAATATTTTTTCAATGTTTTTCTTTCATTAAAAACAGGAAAAATTCTAAGAAATGATTCAAGGAGATTAAAAAATACCTAGTCACTCAAGAGATTTCCATTGACCTAGACTATTCAATTGGACTCAGTGACAAAATCTGGCTAATAATTTAATATAGTCAAATAATTATTAATGTGTTGTGTTATGTAGACACACGTAGCACAAGTTAAGATGTAGGTGTACACAAACTGCAACGCCCCCTCTTCCTCTCCCGTGCAGTTAGATACCTATCCCAGTGTGGACAGGGTGGGCACAGGGACGTGTCTCCAGATGCTATCACACTCTCCGGGCTCTTTCCTTGGAAAAAATTGCATATTCCTGACTTAGCTGTCTTCAAGCCTCATCAAAACTTAGTAGTCCGTCATCTCTACTAAAGAAAACTAAGCAAATCGATTAATTAGCCTGACTGGACAGTTTGTCAGCCCCAGACCTTCATCACCTTGCACTCCTCACGTTCATTTTGAAAACAACCTCTAAATGTTCTTCATTAATAGGCATAAATCGATGCTATAAATTAGGAATTCATCCCAGGTAGCTATGAAAATTGGCCTCACAGGAGGTTGACTATAGAGGGGAATGCAGATCAGACTAATACACAGGTAACTAATATGCAAGTATTATTTCCAGCTGGAAAATAATACCATGGTGTTTTGAAAAACAGAATTTCTTGTAAGTTGGTAAACTAACTTAAAACCAATCATACTGAAAAGACTTAATATCCTCAACAGTTTTAGTCACAGGCAAAATAATCATGGATTATATATAAGAATCCATCACTTAGTTCTATTTTCAACATATCAATTTTTTATGATCTTACTGTAAACTCTGTATGGGCTTTGTATATTTCTCTTGGGCTGCAGATATTAAGACTCAGTATAAAATTCCAGTAAGTGTTTGATCAATTCTATAATTCTTAGCTCAAACAGATTTTGATTTCTTCAGAAAATGGCTCTACTGAAGTTTAAAGACTGAAAAGCCTATAGTTTGAAAATAATTATGCTGCATATTATAATATTGCAAATTTAAATGTCTTGATTCTATTATTTAATTCCTAATTATGTGTTGTAGTGGTCACCAGGACACATATACAAGAATGTATACAATAGCAGAAAAACTGGGGACAACCCTAAAGCCCATTGATAAGAGGATGAATAAATAAATTGTGATACATTTAACTAATAAAATATTATGCAGCAGGTAACATGAAGAAATTTTTGCTACACACAAAATGGATATACATTTTTAGAAACTATACTGAATACAAATTATAAATTGCAAAAAACTAAAACCACTATGATACTATCTTTTAAAACTCACAAACAAGCCAAACTAAGCAATATCATGTTATACATATCAAATAGTATATCATAATTTTTTTAAAACTAGTGTCTACTGAGATTAATAATATTAGAAATATCCAGAGCAAGGATGCCTAATCTGGCACTCTGCTATTTAAAGAATGTAATTCTAGAATTAAATTCATCAGGTCCCTACTTCATATAATTACAACATTATGGAAGTTTGTAAAAGGTTCCCTTTACTCATATTTTCTGAAGGATCTCTACATCTTAGAAAGTATATGCTGAGGTAAAGTTCATAAGGGAGTGAAGCATTCTAAGTGAAGGGAACAGTTGGTTTGTTCAAACAGGTTCTCCAGTCCTGGAAGGGAATGGACATGATGAACTATTTTGTTATTTCCATTTCTAACCACTATGTATTTGGTCCACATAATACATTCATTAAGTGCATTTGCTAAATAGCAGGATTTTAATTTGTTAAACTTCTCCCGTGTTTAATGTACTTAGCAATTCCAGTCATAAGACCACATAATATCATGATTTGTCCACTAATGTTAATTTCGTAAAAGATTTGGGTCTTGATAGCAGGCATAGATAAAGATGGGATCAATTTTAATGAAAAACGATTTCATTCTCAAACGGAGAATTGCACTAAAACACCTTGATTCACATTACAGTTTCTTAATGAGTAACACACAAGTAAAATAACAGCCTCTTCTACATCTTCCAAAAGCCAATTTCTATCAATCTCAATCTCGCTATCAAACACAGAGAACTTAGAAGAACATAATAAAAGATTCATTTTCACATTGGTAAAAAGGAATTTTAAAAAACTCATCAGAATAGAGATGTCAACAATTTAATTATTTTGGGGCTCTAATCCTAGTCTGTTCCCTCTCATAAAGATACATGTTGTATTCCTACGTTTTCTCAGCTTATCTAATTGCGTTTTTGAATTAATGTCTCTTACTAGGGAATTCTAATACTAAAACTCACATGGCAGAACTACCATATATCATCATCATAGCTACCAAATGTTTACTAACTTGCTCTGGGCATCTTGATGACTGATTTAAGAAGACTCATTATCAGAGATGAAGAATAACTCTCCCTTAAGTCTGTCTTACAGATCAGTCAGTTTTGTGTCTCTAATTCTCACTCTACCAGAAAATATTTGACTATAGTTTTCTAAATTCTGAACCTGGAATAAATAGTCATTTAAAATCCTGTACTTTCAACTACTGCTTTACCTTTAAATTGAATGAACCTATTGGTACCATTTCACTAAAACAAATGTGTCCTATATATGGTTAGGGTGAAGCACGTAAAGGCTCAGGAAACTTTTCAATTAAATGTCACTCTACTGTTTTGCTTAACCAACATGTAAAACAATTTTCCCAAGAGTTTAAGAAAACATCCCATAAAGAACATTCTCAAGAAAAAAGTGTATTCATGCTTTAAAACAAATAGCATTATATCAATAACTTTAATACACAAATTATTTACATTAATGATGGCTAAGCTCTACAGGGGACTAGTTTGAGTTTCATTCACTCATTCATTGATTCTGTGTTTCTCAGCTGTCTATCACAGGTCTGCTCCAATTTCCAGAGAAATTGCATTGAAGAAGCAATAAGGCCCCTGTTCTCATGGACCTTGCAGTCTAATCTAGTAAAGGTGGCAGGAAGTAAACAAACTAATAATGAAGGAAATAGCAAGTGACAAGTACTTTCCCGATATTGATAGTGACTGGGAGGCCACATTAGATGGGATGGTCAGGGAAGACACTTCAGAGGGAGTGATTTTTAAGTGAGATCTGAAAGCCACAAAGAATCTGGCCATGGAAAACTCAAAGGACAGGGCACACTGGGAAAGGAAACAGCCAGTACAAAGGCCCTAATAAGCAAGCACATGTGTCATAATCAAGGAATGGGAGAAAGAGAAGGCTAAAGGAAGGAGTGAGGTATTGTGTTTGGAGAAATGGGACGTGATGATGTGAGAGACAGCAGGAGCTGGACCAGGCAGAATTTTGTAAACTAGGGTAAGGAGTATGAATTTGAGTCTAGGTGAGGCCAAGCGTGGTAACTTCGCCTGTGGTCCCAGCACTTTGGGAGGCTGAGATGGGAGGATTGTTGTGGCCAGGAGTTCGAGACCAGCCTGGGAAACACAGTGAGACCCTGTCTCTACTGAAAAACAAAATTAGCTGGGTGTGGTGGTATGTGCCTATAGTGCCAATTACTTGGGAGCCTGAGGCAGGAAAACTGCTTGAGCCCAGAAGTTCAAGGTTGTACAGAGCTATGAACATACCATTGCACTCTATCCTGCCTGGGCAACAGAGCAAGACCCTGTCAAACAAAACAAACAACAAAAAAAGAACTTCATTCTAGGAAGCCAATGAGGGCTTTGAGCAAGGTGACAACATGATCTGATTTGTTTTATAAAAGGTGCTCTGGTTTCTGTGGAGAGCACAAATTGTGGAGGCGTAAGGACAGATATGGTGGGTCAGTTAGGAGACAACTGTTGTCACCAAAGGGGGATCCTGGTGGCCTGGAGCATAGTAGTAATGACGATGGAAAGATGTGGAGAGATGTTTGTATGTTTTCAATGCAGATGCAGGAAGATTTTCTAATGGATTGGATGTGGAATGCTGAGGGAAAAACAGGAACCAAGGCTAACTCATAATTTTTGGAATTGAGAAAACAATAGAGAGGGAAAGCTGGGAGAGGAGTAACTTTAGGAAGGGGAATCCAGAATCCCATTTCTTCCATGTTGTGATTGAGACTCCTCGTGGCCATCACAACAGGCAGGCTGTAGGAGTTGAGATTGCTGGGCTAAGTATAGAGATTTGAGAGCAACTGACACAGATGTGGGACATGAGTGATGGGAATGGATAAAATCAGCTGGGAAGAGTCTATGAATATGAAGAGGGAAAAGGAGTCAAATGCAGAGCCCCACAGCACTCCAATATCCAGCCAAGAGAGTGGGATATAATAACATTAAAGAGAAGAGAGTGCTTTGGGAAGGTAGGATTGCTCAGCTAAGCTACATGCTGCTACAAAAACAAGCAAAACCTCAAAGAGCAGAAAAGTGACCACTGGAATAAGAAGCACAGCAGTGCTTCTTACGGTGATTCTGATGGGAGTAGCTCAGTGGAGGAGAGTGAACAAAGACCTTGCTGAATGTTGCTCATGCCAAATAACAAGTGAGAGAGTAGAAAAAGCGACAACATAAAACTCCTGCAAGGAAGTCTGCTATGAAGGGTGACAGTGCGACACAAGATAAAGGACTTTTAAATTTTGAGATAGGAGATCTTCGGCAATGTTTGGAGTCAGAATAGCTGAAGTGACAATACCAGAGGAAGAGAGCTAGGAGGATGGGGGATGATATTCAGAGTAGAATGCCTGAAATGAAGATTTCAATTTTATGACTGTTGGTATTGACAAGGTAAAAGTATGGCCCTAGGACAGGAGACTCAGGTGTAATGGCAGAAAGGCTCATTGCAGGCAAAGAGACAGTGAGCTTTCAGGTCCAAAATTCTGGATAGATCATCCACGTGAGTTTTGAACACCTCCAAAATGGCAACAGGAGTAGGTTAGAAAGAAAATGATGCAGGAGCTAGAGAAATCACTAAATTCATGTGTGACAGTGAGATATTACGTGTTCTATAAAGGGGAGATGAGGGAAAGGTAGTGGAGAGGAAAGACTCATGGCATGAACTTCACATGTGCTGAGATTATTGAAGGAAGAGGGGGAAATGATTGGGAAACAGGATTAGGAAGCAAGGAAGACACACCAGCCACTCCTCCAGGGCGTGAGATATGTGGGTTAGGAACAAACTGCACCTCTCCTCAAGAGGGCTCTGAGGACCCAGCATCATCAGATGACAGTGACATTTCAGTTAGATTTTACAAGAAGGTGAAGCGAACAATCAGAGAGCAGATTGAACAAATGTGAAGAAAGGCACTGATGGATGATGGGTCTGGGAAGCACAGAGAGAAAGGTAGAAACTGAGCTGGATGACCCCCAGAGGGAAAGGTAGAAACTGTGACCACTTCTGAAGTGTGACCTGCTTAGGATCTTACCTGTGTTTTCTTTTGCAGTACACCAAAAGGTTATCGAAAAGAAAAAACACTCGTTCTTGAATATTTCCAGAAGAAATTTTCAGTAAGACTCCACACATTAGCATTTCAGTGCAGGTGTCAGTGATGTTGGACCCCTAAGTCAGGAGAAATGCAATTAATGTCTGCTTACTTGGTTGACACTTCTGTATATAATTATTTTTCTACTTACAATTATAGTTATTTTTATTTTAAGAAGCAATCTATGCACAGGCTAAAGTGCAAACAAACAGTAGAGAGAGTTATATACTGATTGGAGAGCCCCTAACCCCTTCGTTTCCCCCGATCAGTCTCCTTCTGTGTCTCCTTCCAGGTTGTGTACATACACAAGCATACAGACTACATGTCACCTATGTCATGTTGAAAGGAGATGACTTCAAATTAATTCATAATGTTAACAATTAGAATTTATCTGTCTTTTTTTTCTCTTTTTCCCCAGTATGTGGGAAAAAGGGGCTCCATAGGTACAAAGTACATGAAATTGTCTACATGTTTACCAGGTCTCAATTTATACATCCACCCCTAGGATGGAGAAAAGAAATAAAAAGAGAAAAAAATATTTAAAGGGAGCAACTTTCCACAGAGCCTTTCACCCTATTTATTAGAAGTTGGCAAAGGCACACTAGCTAACTAAATAAGTGTTTATAGCATGCCCATCAAGATTACACGACTAGTGACAAAAGCAATTCTTAACACAAGCACTGGCCACTAGAAGTGAAGAGGAGCCACAAGATGGAAGGAGCCTGGCCCCCTGAACCATCAACAGAGGAAAGCTGCCCCCTGAGTTGGACATGAGCGTCAGACTGTGGTGGGAGATGCACAGAAATGTCTATTTTGAGCCATTATAAATATTATAGTCTATTTGTTTCTACAACCTAATCTATCATAACCAATGCACTGAGTTGGACCAAAAAAAAAAAGAAAAAGGACATTTTCCATAAAGATCTATATATGTGCTCTGCAAGAGACTTTAAGTTTCAACTATATCAAGATTCTTTAAATCTGGAGTAAATTTCTAATTTTTGTGTAACTCAATGTTTCTATTTTTAATGTTTCATATTTAAAATTTAGAACATTAATTTTAAATTTCATATTTCCACAATAATCACTGATAATAGTTTCTCTGGTTAATTATAAAAATTTAAATTAAAATAACAACTAATTCCTACAATGACAAATCAAACTTTCAAAATGGGGAATTAATTAAGAGAGCTTTTAAATATTAATTTGATTATCTTTATATTGCAAATTTTAGACATTTTCCTTTATTATTTCTTTTTTTTTTTTTTTTTGAGGCAGAGTTTCGCTCTTGTTGCCCAGGCTGGAGTGCAATGGTGCAATCTCAGCTCACTGCAACCTCCGCCTCCTGGGTTCAAGCAATTCTCCTGCCTCAGCTTCCCAAGTAGCCAGGATTACAGGCATACCACCATGCCCGGTTAATGCTGTATTTTTAGTAGAGACAGGGTTTCTCCATGTTGGTCAGGCGGGTCTCGAACTCCCGACCTCAGGTGATCTGCCCGCCTTGGTCTCCCAAAGTGCTGGGATTACAGGCATATGCCACCACACCCGGCTGTTCCTTTATTATTTCTTTTCATCCTGAAAGTGGATATACAAGTGAAGATTTGGCAAAAAAAAAAAGTTACAAAATTTCATGTACTTTATCATGTGTTCATTAAGCAAAGTGGTTTTAATTTACAGCAATTTCACAAAGTGTACAGAATAGCTCTCCCTTAGACCATTTCTTATGATGACCCATATAGGCCAACCCTGGATGATAAGCTGTTACATTATGAAAGGGTTACTGCAAATATCATCTTAATTTTCACATTAAATAAATCTCCTGAGTACCTCAAATTAACATATGCAGATATTAGTAGGTGCATTCTTAACAAAGCATTTCCTGACTTGTTGATAATTATCTTTCTTAATAAATGTAAGGAGTATTTTATATAAAATTGAACTAACTATAATGACATTGTTATCTTACAACTGATTCAAAGTGATGCTACAATTAATCAAACCTCTAGGTCTTTTTCCTCCATCCTGTACGTTAGTTTGACTTTTTGAATCACCCGTCCATATTGATACAAGAAACTCTCAAGCCCCTTGCTAATATACAGACCTATTCTATCTAAGGCATTACTAAAAGTCCCCATCAGTTCCTCATTCCTGATCAAAAAACAGAGTAAGATTTACTGACCTCTTTAAGGTCAACATTTCTTTATATAAGCAACCCAAATCATCAGTTTAGTCAATTACTAATCACATTTTTAGTAAATAAGGACAAGCACAACCATTGATAGCTTCTAGAATTCATGGTTATGCCGCAAAGTGTATCTCACAATATACATATAACTTCGGTCAGATTGTGTTTTACTGAATCTGACGGAGATGTTTCTGTCACTGAGATGATGTACCTTTAACACTTAAAGTAGGCTTCAAGAATTAGTGCAATATCACCTTTCACCATCTTCTACCACAGTAATCTACCATCATGGCATGAAATATCTTCCTTGAGTAATTAAATAATTCCCTGAGAATTGTTAATGTACTAAAGGATTCTATGTCAAAATGTGCAGATTTATCTAAAAATATCATCCTAACACAGCAGCACACAGCATTTTCCTTTATCCTGCATTTATCTTTGAAACTCTAAAGCATGCCCACTGTGCCTTTGATTTCCCATGACTTAAATTTGTGCATTATCTCTAGGATAATGGCAGGCAAAAATCATTAAGAACTGTTTAACCACAGATATGTATGAACTGACTGCGGAGAGAAACTACAATCTTGGAAAAGATGAAAGATGACAGGAGGCCTTGAAATGTCCCTACTCGTATACAATGCATCAGCAGACAAAGATCTAACAGAGCTAGATCCATTCACAGTGGAAGAAAAGAAAATTGACAAGACTGACAACTAGAATGTGCTTCATAAGAGAACAGTTCTGATATCAAAGGAGTCTCTTAAAAAAATTGATGAAGCATTTGAACATTCTTACAAAGATAAATCTTTAAAAAAATACTGTGAAAACAAACATAAAGAATATTATATTGTCTTATCATAAAATGTTTGACACACCCCAAAAAAGACTCAGCATTTGATTTGCTCTTTTTGAGGTTAAAACTATTAACTAAAATTATAACCTGATTTCTGTGACATATAAAACAAATAATATAAATTTTCATTTTACTAAGATAAAGTCCCATCAAACCTTCCCCCCTTACACTTCATTGAAATTTTGTGCCTCTTTTAAACTGGATTCATTTTCAGTCGTCTTTTTCCAGAACCACTTATCCTCAAATAACAAAGACTATATATAAATCAATTCTATCTCAAGGTAGAAGATGAATTTATATCTGCCAAATCACCTCGTACAGAGGACAAAAAGAAACAAGTACCAGCACTAAGCTCTGGAAGACTCACATCCATGAAATAACAAGAAACATGACCTGAAGTCAATACACTGTCAGGCACAAACTCAATCAAATGGAAGCAGCAAACAGATTCCAAAACCAACAAGAAGTAATTTTTAAATGGTCCTGTAACACTGTATTTTTCCATGTAAACAGGTAATAAAGAAATGTCCAATTTCTTTCTGTGTCTCTTTACTTTCTAAAACACAACATTTATCTTGAATCTCATTTATCCCAACACCTTCATATATTAGTAATTCCTTCTCTTATCTTTTATCATAATACTGTTTTCCAGATTTGAGAGATCAATTCCAAACAGGCATTTCAAGGACTTAAAGCTGAATTACTGACAACATAATATTTATTGATACTCCCTTGTCAAAATACTTCAGTATAGCTCCAAAGGCTACAGTTATCATTACAACATAATCAGTCAACCAACACACAGACAGAGAATGGTCCTGTTCTATGAAATGAATCAGTGACTCTGATTAAACAGCTAATAAACTTCCCTTCCAGGGCATATTAATCATCGCCCACAATTACCTTCAGTAGACTATCTTGCAGAATGTTCTGAATGTTGCATAACTTATATGACTGAGATATAATAAATTATACTAACAAAAGGCATAACTTCAAAAATGAACAAATAAAACATACACTATAGATTTTCTGTGGTGGCAGTTACTACATAAACGCTGACAAAAATCTAATTTTGATAATCAACTTACTTTTAAAAGACAAGAGGAAAACAAACTTAATCCAAAGCATTTGCCAAATTTGTATCTGAGTGGATATAATAGCACATGGTAAGGAATATAAGCTTTAGAGTCAAGTTGCCTATTTTCAGATCTAAATGTTGTCACCTTTTAGTTATAAGAACTCGGGTAAGTTAAATAGTCTTCAGTTTTTAAATCTATTCAATGAAGAGTATAGCATCTCAGCCAACTGTGGAGATGGTTATAATGCACTGTATGTGATTATAACGCATACAATGGAGAATCAGTTATTTCTCCAAAAAGAAATTGGAGGGCTGGCAGTCAAGTTCCTCTGCCCTTCCCCTAGCAAATTCACCCAAGCAAGATTAGTTGAATCTTGGATTTTGATCTTCAGTCTTGAATGTAGTCATATAAAGATGGAAAAAATTATTACAGCCTATTCATTTTAGCTAGGGCATGGATGAGACTGTCAAAGAGTTTCAGCTGCCTAGACACCCTTCTCAGGTCTGACGCTGTAGCTTTTGTGTTGACTCTGCAAGCTACCCAATCTTTTAAATTAATTTTTCTTTTAGTTTCTGTTGCTTACAACCATATAACTCTAAGTACTATAATACCTTCAGTAGATAGGTGCATATATTAGACAAATGAGGGAAATTTTTTAAAGCTTTAAAATACTACCTCATATCTGCGTAGCATTTTACAGTATTGAAAGCACTTTTACTTATTTCATTTGACTTCTGCAATAATCCACACTCCATATAGGAGAGGAATTATATATCACCCCCAAACAAAGGGTTAGAGTCCAGACTAAAAACCAACTCTGCTCAAAAGCCATGCTTTTCTCACTGTCATATGTTTTGCAAACAATAAATTTCAATTGCTTGTTTACCTAAATTCAACATTCGGGAATGTAAATAATTTAGTAACACAAAATACTAGATAGGAACATTGTGCCTAAGAGATGTTATTGTTTAAAACGAAAGCTTTCATTTGATTAACAGTGAAGTAAGTCCCCAGATAATTAAATGACAGAATAACACACCTATAATAGAAATAATGCAAATTCATGGTATATCAGACTTGGATTCCATCAAATAGAATTTTAGTTACTGAAGGAACAGTGTCCTCCCTAAGGAGGCCCTGAACGTGGTCTGCAGGAGCCTGTGGAAGGAGCCGGAGAAGGAGCTGCTTCCTAGCATGAGCCCAAGACTCCTAACCTCAAAAACTCGTCGGGGAACTCTGCATTCTGTAACTGTCATGCCACCCTACATCTGAACTTCCCCGTGTCCTAACCCTAAGGTAGCCTCTCCACAGATACACAAGGCTTCCACAGGCTGAGCAAGGATCTCTATTAGCAAGTCAAAGACAGCTCTTAACTCATTACAGCTTCCTCCCAGGGCCTGAATTCAGCCTGTGTGACTCTGTGTCCTTACAGAGAGTCCTATGAGACTAGCAATTTCTCCTAAACTCCCCAGAAGGGACTAGGCCTGAAAATCAAGTTGCCCCCCTCGATGAGGTGGTGGACTGGGACAGGCAATGGAGTTCTTATCACAAATTGCCAAACCCACTGACTGGGCCCTGCTCCAAGCTGCACTCCCTCAAAGTCCCAAAACTCCCAATCTCTGTATGGCCGTCTTTCGCAATCATTGTCAAATCCTACTCAAGTAGAATTTATGTTGCCACTTCTTCTTGGAATCACTTTCTTGGAACCCAACTTTCATATTATCTCCCCTGTGCCTCCTGGAACTGACTGTAGAATTTAAAAACAAGGACTATTTAACTTACCCAAGTTCTTATACCTAACAAGTGGCAACCTTCTTCTCTAATTTCTCTGAATACACAACAGAAATCCTTAACTCCATCCAGTTTTCCCTGTCTCAGTGCCCCATTTTCTCTTGCTCTCAGAATGTCATAAAACCACGAAAGCTGGTGAAGTCGGTTGTGGGCTACATATGATATAGTTCCACCTACATTCATTCTTCCTTTGAGTAACTGGTGTATACTGTGTAAACAGTATCAATAACTTTTAAGGAATCTCTCATTTCTGCAGTACACTCAGTTTTTAGCATATACACCAGGATGAAACAAAATTATGACAGATTCCATTTCCTTAGAGTGCCGAAAAAAGTCTCTGAAGTTTTTGTTTTAGTAAAAGGCCTGGCACATTTCATTGACAAATTCTGCAATTTAAAGCAAGTTTCACTTTTCTTCCAGTGTTTGAGTGACAACAGAACTCCAAAAGCAAACTGGAGTCCATTTTTCTCATCACAGCAGGACAACAGCTCCCCAGGAAAGAAATAATCATCATGAATTAACTGTAAAACACACAACCATTTTAGCCGCCTGAAAGCGGCAGCATTCATGCTGAATGTGAGGGCACTCTGGACACTTGAAATGGAAAGAGTTAGACAAAGAAGCAGCTAGGTCAACCCCAGTTAGCATTTTAAAAGATTCATAGGAGAGAAGGGACAAACAGGAGAATTCCTTAAGGTCAATGTTTGAGGTTTCTTCGCATATCTGGGTGGACATAATTTTAGGTCCAAATGAAAACTAACGTGTCAAAGGTAAGAAACAAATTCATCTAAAGCCTTAAAGATAAAGCAATCCATTTAGTTTTATGTGATAACAGTATTTGGCTAGGAGCATTTTCAATCTTTCCTATACTTAAAAGTTATCTTCATTGCTTACTTTATAACAAGAAAAAATTTGACCTAGTCCAAACCTTATACTCATTTAAATTAAGGCAACGTAATGACAGAATTTGAGTTCATTCTTTGCATAGTAGTAAAGTAACATAGGACTCCAACCCCATGAAATAACTGGGAATCAAAGTTACCATTAGCTGAAAACATTTACAGATTTTGAACTATACTCTTCTTTTTGGCATAAAAAAACTTCCTTAATGACTCAGGAAGTCATAACATTTTTCATCTTGAATAAACCTTAAAAATAAGGTCATAGCCAATTCCTTCAGTTTATAAATTAAGAAATCAAAACAAAGAGGTTAAGTGAACACATAATTTAGAGACTGAAAGTAATACCACAGCACACCTACTGAACTTTCCGTCGCTTCTTCACTCTCCCAGGATTCAGGTTATGTACTTATGGCCAAAGTTAAGAGAGGAACAGAATCATCACGATGCATAAATGCTAAAATATTAAAGCTTATAGCCCACATAGTATCTATTGGCTCCATCACAAACTTCTTCGGTCAAGGTTAAGTCAATTAACCACCACCTTAAAGATACTTTAAAATAATGATGAAAGTGAGCACTTTTCAGAATTGACTGTAGTCCTCAAGAAATATCTAAGAAAATGACCATTTATGGTTCCATCCAATGCCAGTAATTCTGCACAAGGCCTGCAACATTAAACTATCTTAAGCTCGATTGTCGAGCAAAGTGAACGTACCTCCCAGCCTTCAATGTGAGACTGCCATTCCTCTAAAACTTCTAACTTCTCCATCTGTCTCTTGGCCTCATTTATGTTGGAACAGACAGCTTTCATGGCTTGGAGGGCTTCCATCACTGCTGCATAGTCACTGTGTTTCCGTGGAGTCCGCTTCAGCAGCTCCTGTTTATACACAAAAAAACAAATTGCCCTTTGATCTTCAGCTTTCTGGTACAGCAGGTTCAGCCTGACCAGGAAATGAAAATTGCAAAGATCGTGAGAGCCACTTCCATAAGTGACATCACAAATTCCTCTAAGATTAAGATCAAAAACAAAAGTTTGAATCAATGAGTAAGTGTAACCCAAATGCACATTTTTGCAGTCACTTTAATTTTTCTTCAAACTTACTTTGTTTTTAAAAATTAAGTTAGGTTTCCCCTTTTGAATGGTCAAATATCTTACCAGGAACATAAATTTTTGTTTTTAATAATTTGACTTTTGTTCTAACAGAAGCACATATTTATATGTTAATTTCATTTTTATAGAGTCTTTAACAGAATAACAAATCTTTAAGTATGACATAATTTCAAAAATAATTTAAACATCTTATTTTCTAATATTTTTGAGAAACTATAAAAATATGTCATAAAGTTTTAAAATAATGTCTTCTACTACAACAAGATAATTTATAAATTCTACAATATTCCATCATTAAAGGAGCAATTTATGCTGTTTTTCCCAATTACTCAGGCTTATTCTATGTGATGAATGAACTACCATGTACCCCTCAATAGTTTCCTTTTTTGTTTTTGGTATTTAGGGGATTGGGAGGGTCTTTTTATTTCTATTTTTCCCACTCATCAAAACTAGAATAATCTTTAATCTCTTAAACATATTGAAAGCCATTGTTAGTTGTTTAAAAGCACAAAATTAAACATCTTCATCCACTGTCTAGACAGTTGGGACCACATTGCTTTTTAATTAGTCATGTGTTTCCTTACTACAGTTGCCATCATCACGTAACTAACACAATTACAGAAATCCTAAGGCAAGTCTTGAAAAGAATTTTCTAAATTCTCAACAAACAGTGTGAAAATATGCAGTTGTTATATTCTTTTGAGTTCTGTTATTGTTGAAAACTCTGCCATAAACTTGGACCCTAAATTCATTATATTCACACCTTGTTCTGTAGAGCTAACACCAGAGGAATACATATTATATCACTCCCAAGACAAGGTTTAAAAGTTGTGCTGGATCACAAATCCCTAAATGAGACATGCAGGCTTCTTCAAAAACTCTAAAGAGTAGAGGCACCTGTAAATTACGTCAAGTGGTCAAGTCAGTCTACAGGCCATAATTTGGGGTCCAATCATCGAAGGAGTTGAATATGAATTTGCATAATGTGAAATAGTGAGAGGAAACCATCACTCACAATCTGTTAGCCATTACTTGCTAAGAACCCAATGTTGATTGACCAACTCAATAATTTCAAGCTCCACAAATAACATCAATGTATCTTTTCCTAACACTACAGCCTAATCCATAGAATATTTTTTTCCAAGTAAATGAAACACCCTAAAGCAAAGAAAATCCCAGCAGAATTTTTCAGCTGATGGTACAATAGAGACAAATATCAACGCCAACGTATCTATTACATGAGTTAACAGTTTTTCATGTTTCTTTGTGGAGATAATCTACCAGAAAAGGGAAAGGAGGTCAACCTTCCACTGCTTGAAGGGGCTCTGAACCGACCTTCTGGCTAAGAAAGGATGCATCCACGATGCTTTCTTCTGAGAGGTCAGTTCAAATACCTGAGTTCATCCCTAATCAGAAATGAGTAATTTAGAATAACCACTTTGTCAGGATGTAACCTTTTAATCTCCCTATCCCTTCTTAAACAAATCCCTTGGGATTCCAAAATCAGGGTAAGGAATAACTGCAGTTATGAGTACACAGGCAAACTGAGTCAAGTCAGAGGTCTGTAGGGATTCTCAGAAAGAAAGGAGACACATTTGCAACAATACTCCCTCTGCAGAGCTGGGGACTCCTGTGTCAGCCTCTCTGAGGCTTTTTATGGCTTAAGCAAGCAACGCTAGACTTCTGTTTCTTTAATAAGGAACAAACATTTTCAAATAAAATTTACACAGATACCTAATTTATGGAATTGACAAGATTTGTATTAAACTACATTTTTAGTTCAAATTCAACATTTATTTCTTAAAAAGCAAATCAATAAAAACACCAGTTAATATGTCTCTAGTATTTCTGAGTATTTTTTGAAGTTTAGATGCCAAGTAGTAATTTATATTAAAATAAATTTAATATAAATTTTTGAAAAATAAGTAGTAATTTATATTAAAATAAATCAGAATCAAATAGATATGAATAAAATGGCTAATACTTATAACGTACATACTATGTTAATTGATTTTATAAAATAGTTAAATTAATCATTATTATTATATAATCCTATACATATGCATATATATGTATTCAGAATACACATGCATACATACGTACACACATTCCTACAGGTCTATGCTATAATTTCATCATCATCATCATCATCATCTCTATTTCATAAATGAAAAACCAAGGCATTAAGAGGTTCGATTACATGTCCAGTAAGCGCAATACTTGGGATTTAAACTCAGAGTTCATGTGCTTTACCACTATCCCAGGCTGCCTATCCTGATGTTATGGTTCCAAAAAATGTAGTTTCAAAAATTGCTGTCTTGACCTATTCATAGGTCCGTTGCAGTATGGGCAGTAAGTAGTTGGCACCTTACAGTACATTTTTCATAATAAAAATTGTGGTTACTATAATGAGGCAACAAATCTACAACCATTAGTGGGATGTTTTACATCTTCTAGAGGCAATGTTTTCTTAGCAATCTTATTCCACATTCTATCATTTATTGCCTCATGCGACCCACACTATTCCCTTTAATAATAATTTTAAATTCTGGCTATGCAATTATACAATTTTGACCATAATTTCATTAGCATCACAAAGTCATCAAAGTTTAAGGAAATCAAAAATATACCAGCAGTGGATTTATTTAAAATAAAAGGCCCTGCAAAATGCTATATAAACTAGTCATAATGAACTTAATGGGATCTATCTTGAAGCTAATGCATTTCCTCTAAATAAAACTTAAGTATGTTTTATACAAAGAGCACCAAAAGCTCTTTCAGTGGCTTTTCCACTGAAAATCTGTTTCCTACACTAAATATAAATTTGTGACAAAATGACCACTTTTTTCCAATACGTATGGTCTGCCTTTCCTTTAGAATATCAGACTCTTTAAAATAATTTTTTTTTTTTTTTTTTTGAGACGGAGTCTCGCTCTGTCGCCCAGGCTGGAGCGCAGTGGCCAGATCTCAGCTCACTGAAAGCTCTGCCTCCCGGGTTCACGCCATTCTCCTGCCTCAGCCTCTCAAGTAGCTGGGACTACAGGCACCCACCACCTCGCCCAGCTAGTTTTTTGTATTTTTTAGTAGAGACGGGGTTTCACCGTGTTAGCCAGGATGGTCTCGATCTCCTGACCTCGTGATCCGCCCGTCTTGGCCTCCCAAAGTGCTGGGATTACAGGCTTGAGCCACCGCGCCCGGCCAAAATAATTTTTTAAAAAGATCATCAGCAAAATATGTAGGTACAAGGAAATGGCTACAACGAGGTAGCACATAAAATACCTTCAAAATGAGAGGGTACTTGCATATTCTTTGTATTGGTGTTACTAAATATCCTTCCAAGGGAACATCTGTGTTCTTCCGTCCTCCAAGCAGCATGCAGTTCTGGGGTGAAAATAATCATAATTAATTACATTTTTAAAATCTCAGGCAGCAAAACATTTTTCTACCATAAAATGCTGAAAACTAGTGAAAGTATATGTCTTTATATACTTTCTTTCTCTAAGAAAAGCATATTCAGTCACAAACACTCACAGAGAGACAAAGAGAAATACTAGTTACAGAACTGTTGTGAATCTGTATCTTAAAAATTAATGTACTTATATTTCCCTGAGTATGAAGTCTGAGGAAAAAGAGGTGGAGAAAGAGAGAGAGAGGTGAATGAATGGATGGATGAATGGATGGATAAGTGGTGGATAAACAGATGACTGACACATAAATAGATAGATTAATTTTGCTTATAAAGAAAGGTATATTATGTTGTAGAAGGGCAAGTATCAAGACAGTTAGGTTCTAACTCAGGCTCTGCAACTGACAAGTGATACAACTTGGGCTAATTTAAGAATTCTAGTTTTCCTCTCCATAAATAGGGCAGGTTTTAAGCAAATGATCTCTGAGTCATTTTTTGCTATTACACTGCACCAAAGACGCTGGGCAGCCAGTGTCAGAGAAGGAGGTCAGACAGGATCTCTGCAGAGGCAAGGTGAAAGAAGAAATCTCAAAATCAGGAATCAGAGTGGGATGATACTGAAGCAGCTTTCTTTGATGATAAAGTGGTGGTCAAGAGAAAACTGACTCTGAAAAATAAAACCTTCACCTTCATAAGCAACGTGCAATGAAACAGACTTGAAACTTGCCCAAACCTTCTTTCTGCAGTGCCTACAACAGACAAATTATTTAATAAATATCTAACAGAGGGAGAAGAGAGCCCCTCAAATATCAAGCTAAGTTAGCAACTTTCATACTACAATTTTCAAAATACTGTTTCAGGTTCATTGAGAGGAGAGGCTGAGTGTTGATCAGGAAAGGATGCAAAAGGAAGACCGACAGTAGTAGAAAAATTTTCTGCTGTTCTGAGCAACTGAATATCAGCCTCAATTTGTGGTCCAAGTCTGCAAAATCAGCACTATGAATGTAACTTCACCCAGACCCCACAGATGACATAGCAGCAAACACATGCTCTTACACAAGCATCCTCTTTGGGGGTTTCACTTCCTACTGCAATCGGGTTATCAAAATATTCTTTCAAACTATATTTGGTATTTTCCCCCAGAGGAATCCTATGAAACACAACTATCTACATCTCGTTATATTTCCAGTGATGTTTCCGTTCCAGTATGTTAGCATCCCCGTAAATTACAGCAGCCGTCCCCTCACCTACCTCTGGACTGAAGTGCCCTAAAATCACTCAGGGTTGTCTAGCCCACTTTTATTGCCTTGTGTATTAGTACTGTATAGATTGTGAACTCAATTCATAATCCCACAGGTTGGCTACCACTTTAGACTGGCTTAGGAGAGCTAGCTCCTTACACATACATAAAGAATATGTTTCCTGACCAGGTACAGTGGCTCACGCCTATAATCTCAACACTTTGGGAGGCTGAGGTAAGAGGATCGCTTGAGCCCAGGAGATCGTAGAAAAATGAAAAGTGCATCAGGAACCAAGAGGAAACATTAAGCTTACCAACATGTGTGTAAATTGGAGTCAGTAAAGAAGAAAACAAAGGGTCAGATAAATATTTCTAAAATAACGGCTAAAAACTTCCCAGAGTTGATGAAAAATTAATCTATAGATTCAAAAAGCTCAACTATAAATAAGAAATGTACAACCATCCCCACATCTAAATACATCATTGAACTACTGAAAGAAAAACACAAAGAGAAAATCTAGAGAGCAGCAAAAAAGAGAAAAATGTCCCATCATATAAAGTATAACAACCATACAATTACAGCAGATGCCTTATCATCAGAAACAATGGAAGCCATAAGGTAGTAGAATGACATATTCAAAGCGCTGACTGAGAAAAAAATCTATCAGTCCAAAAGTTCTATGTCCAAGTAAAATTATCCTTCAGAAATGAGGGTAAAATAAAGACATTTGCGGATTTAAACAAAAAAAAAAAAAAAAAGACTGAGCAAAGTCATTGCTAGTAGAAATGACTTACAAGAAGTACTAAGGGCTGAAAAGTCTAATATCAGAGTCAAATACACAGGAAGAAATAAGAGCACCAGAGATGGTAAATATTTATATAAATATAAAAGACTGCAGAAAAATATAGAAAGCAATAATTGTAACACTGTGTTGTGAAGTTTATAACATATATAATATATATGGCAATAATAGCACAATAGAAGAGAGATGAAATGGAACATTTTCCATTTCTACTCAGGGAATATTATAGCCAAATTTCCCCTATATTTAACTGGAATTAGGTCAGTATTAACCTAACATGGATTTGATATGTTAAGATGCATATTGTAGTTCCTAGAGCAATCACCAAAAAAACTCCTAATAATACAGTTTAAAAATTGAGAGGAATCAAAATGGTACACAAAAAATGCTTGATTGACACAAAAGTAGGTGGTAAAAGAGGAACAAAGAAACAAACAAAAAAGACACCTAGGAAAAAATAATAAAATGGCACATGTAAATACCATCATATTGATAATTACATTAAAAACAAACAAACTGAGGACCCCAGAGACCGTCAGACTGGATAAAAAGCAGACCCAACAATATGCCATCTGCCAGAGACATTTTAAAGATCCTAAATGGCTTGTAAGTAAAATAACAGAAAACGATATAACATATAAAGATAGTAAGAGAGCTATCACAGCTATAATATTATTAGGAAAAATAGACTTTAACAGAAGAAATACCACAGGGACAAAGAAGACCTCATGATGATAAATAGAAATATGAATATAACAATTATGAATGTGTGCATATCTAACAGAGTCCCAAACTACAGCAAACAAAAATGGACAGAGTTAAAGGGTAAAATAGATAATTTAATTATACATGGAGATTTCAATATCTCATTCTCAATAATTGGATCATTAAACAATATGAATAATATGAATAGTAATTCATAGCATTGTCAATGCATATAATTCATAGCATTGTCAATATATATGAATATTATTATTCACATCATATAATATGAACTAGAAATATAATAAAAGTTATCCAACATAAGAAAGAACATCTACCAAAAAAATCAATAGCAAGCATCATACTTAATGCAGAAGGACTAAATGTTTTCCTACTGAGATTAGAAATATGGCAAGGGTACCTGCTCTTACCACTTTTATTCAACACTATACTGAAGGTTCCAGCCAGTGCAATAAGGCAAGAAAAAAAAATAATTCATCCGCAATGGAAAGGAAAGAGTAAAATCATCTTTAGTATCAGATAATTGATCCTATATGCAAAATACCCTAAACAAGCTACAAAAGAACTACTTAACAAATACATAAATTTAAATCACAGGACACAAGATCAATAAACAAAAGTCAATTAAATTTCTATATATTAGCAATGAACAATTTTAAAATGACATTAAGATAATTTCAATCACAATAGCATCAAAAGGGGAAAAACGAAGGGAAAAAAAGTAAGTACAAGACCTGAATACAGATTTCTCACATATGACAACAAAAGCATGGTCGTAACAGAAAAAAAAATGTAATAAATTAGACTTCATCAAAATTTAAAACTCCTGATTTTAAAAAGATGATATTTTAAAAGCGAACAGACAACACTGGGAGGAAATATTTGCATATTATATATCTGACATAGGACTTAGCTCTGAAATAACAAACATTTATAGCTCAATATAAAATAAACATCCCAATTTTTAAATGGGTAAAAGATTTGAATAAACATTTCACTAAACAAGACATGAAGAGTTAATAAGCACATGAAAGCATGCTTAATGTAATTAGTCACTGGCAAAATACAAATTTAAACCACCATGAGATAGCACTACACACCCACTAGCACGGCTATAATCAGAAAAACTGAAAATGCCAAGTGTTGGCAAAGATATAGAGAAACTGGAATCCTCATGCATTGCCAGTAAATACGGCACAGTCACAATGACAAATAGTTTGGCAGTTTCTTAATTAGTTAAACATGAGCTTATCATACAACACAGACATCGATTCCACTTTTAATGTCACCCAAAAGAATAAAAACATTGTGTCCATTCAAATACCTGAACATAAATGCTCATAACAGCATTATTTATAGGAGCCCAAACTGGATCCAGACCCAATTTTCATTAACTGGCAAACAGATAAACAAAATACAGCATATCCATACAATAGAACAGTATTTTGTAATTAAAATGAATGAAAATGGATACATTCTATAGCAAGAATGAACTTTGAAAACATTTTAGTAAGTGAAAGAAGTCAGGCACAAAAGATTGCATTGTATGATTCCACTTATATAAAATCTCCAGAAAAGGCAATCTATAGGGATGAAAACAAATCAGTGTGTGCCTGGTGCTAATGGTGGGAACAGAGATAGGCTGGAAAGGGACATGGAGGTCTTTCCGAGGTGACAACAATGATCTAAAACTGAATTTGGGGGATGGCTGTACAACTCCACACTCTGCTCAATATCACTGAATCGCACAATTATACTCTGCTCTTCACTAGCGATTAGTTTGCCCATGACAGTCAAAATACGCATTTATTTGTGCTAAGCTAAAGAAATTAAATACATATTTTTGTTGTTTTTATGAAAACAAAATAAGAAATGTATGTAGGAGAAAGGTTAAATTTTACACTTATTTTCTACCATATCCACAATTTGCTTCCTTCCTGTTACTGCCCTACTTACAGCTCTCTCAGCAGAAGTAAAGGACGCCCTACGGAACTGGGGCTATAAAGCAGTGATGAACTCTGGCAGAAGCCTCTCTCACTAGGAACCTGTGGGGTCTCACAGATAATTCATTATCAACCACGAGGGGGCATTAGTGGTACTTCCCCAAACACAAGCTGATCCCAGCTTTCACTTTTATTTTTATCAAAGGACTCTTGCTTCCTCACCTGGGGATGCTAACAGAGATATCCCACAGATTTTTACACCATATTGATGCTATTCCTTGGTTCTCACTGGACCTAACAACACATATCAACATACAGTAACACATAAATATACACTTACCAAAAGAAATGTCCGGATTGTTCTTATTTTGTTGAGTTCAAGAAGTAATTTTTGTGCTTTCTCATGGTTACTACAATATTCATCATAGATACGAAACTTGTCTTTCTGTGAATTCATGTAAAAATAAATTAGTCATTTGATTCAGCATTCTGCAATTTTAACCTATGTGATATGCATAAAGAAGCTTCAGAGTGCTTACTACGTTTTAAGAGCTATACTGCGTGTATACAGCTATATATAAATTTAATTTATTTTCCCTGGCCCATGAAGAATAGCCTAAAAAGGGAGATAGACATATATCAGTTATACTCTATCGTGAGGAATTCAAGTGGACAAATGAACCAAAGGGTGGCAAAGCACAGAAAAGAGAGGGCTGAGCTTTGTCATGAGGATTCAGTTACAGCTTAAAAAGAGGAAGAAATTACATACATATTCTTGCTGTTATTTATGAAAACTGAATAAGGACTGTATGCAGAAGAAAGGTCAATCAATCTGAGCAAGGTCCAGGTATATAAATCCATGATTCCTAGGCAGGGAGAGGGAAGAAAGTCATTTAGGTGAAGGCAAAAGCAAGTGCCAGATCATATAGAAATAGAGAAACACAGGACCCTGTGGTTCATATACACCAGTCTAGACAGTTGTGCTTAAGAGAGTAACAACCTGAAGAATATCTAGCAACAAGCAACTAAGAGAATGACAGACCCTGAAGACACCACGTCTGAGAGGTTGTTTCAGAGAGTCATATTTGTAGGTATAGAAAAGTCAGGAAATCATGAACACTTTCAAACAGCGTTATGTTGTAAAGGACTGACAATCCTATGTAGCTCCAAATATAAAACTAGGACCTTTAGGTGGATGTTGCAAGGGCAGTGATGGGCAGATTTTGGATCATCATAAAGATTTTCTAACAGAGCTGTCACTAAAGTAGGAACAAGATAAACAGCCTTCATAGATAAATAGGAGATATTCTTTTAAAACAAGAGGATTTGTACCATCATGATCTCTAAGCTCCCTTCTATTTGTAAGATTTTCTCAAAGTGTCTTATCATCAAAAGAGTACCAATAAAAGGAAGACACAAAAAATGTATTGATCAAATATTAGAACAAAAGCGTGCCCACTGAAATTTTAAAGGCATGCATTTAGAGACATTAAGTGCTACTTTCTCTAACCAGCAGAAAATGTATTGAATCACTTATCTCAAGAAATGATACGAGCCAGAAAAATAAAATAAACTTCAGAAATAGTTTAGCTAAATTCAGGGATGACAGATTCATAAAGTGTTACTAAGGAAATGGATGTCAGGGGTGCAAGATTCCCAGGCACAGCCCCGGACTGAGATAGCAACTACTCCAGCTGGCAGAAGATTCTGATTCTTTTGATTCTTTCGTGAAAGAAAGCAGGCTTAAGTGAGTGGACACAAACACCCGTGGCTTCCAGCTGTGCCCAAGAAAAACACAGCTTGATCTTCCTATACCCCATGAGCCTCTCCTTTTAATATAATTATTGTTATGACATATTTTTTGATTATAAAAAGAAGATAGAGCTTGCTCACTACATAAAGACAGATTTTGAAACTACTATCAAAACCTTTCTAAAAGACTAGATGGAAAATTAAAAACACACAAAATTTGATTTCTATGACTAAATACTCTTACACATTTTTAAACAAAACATTAATTGTCTAGCATTTTGATAAATACATGGATTTATACTGGTATTCTCAAAATTAGCATCAACGCAATGGTATAAATATCAGCACTCTCTCTCTCTCTTTTTTTTTTTTTTGGTGTGAATGCCCTTTAGTTTTGAAAACAATTTTCACTACACAGGTGTCTTTTTATTTTGCAAATTAATTGCATAAATAATTTCAGGCATTATATATAAAGAGATGAAAATGATCATATAGGCACAGGATGTATAATTTGAAACAACTGAATGCCGGCTGGTTATTGCGTCTGCACTGCTCAGTACAATCTTCTGAGAAACCATCCTTGGGGAAAATTCCTGCTACTGGGTTTATTCAACTCCAGGTTTGTCACAAGTTGATTAACAAGGGAACATTCTGACTAATAAAAGGCTCATCATGCCATTATAGGAGTGAGGATTTTCTGCCTCAAAAGAAAAATGCTCTATGTTTGAGAGAAACATAAAAATTCATTCATTATGAACAGCCTGAATATTCATTAGAATTCAAAGCTACAGAGGATGCGAAGAACTAACTTGTCGGGGAAAAGAAAAGGCTGTTTATTCTTCAGTAAAATGGATGATGTGAGGCACTCTCCCCTTTTCTGGCTCTAAGTGGAAGATTTCATTGGCCTTAAAAGACCCCAAACTTTTGGTGTCAGATTTTACTTCTAATACTGAATGCACATATACCACTATGCCAAGAGCTAAATCTTAAAATCTAGGGGGAAAGAACTTTAAAAATAAACAGAAATTTATCCTACAAAGTGAAGAAAGCAGGTTCCCACTTCTTGTTGAGCATTAGGTTCGGGGTGTAAGCATTCTTCCACGACTTTTAAGAATTCTTTATGTACTGCAAGGATGTCTTCAATGTTTGAGAACAACATCTGTAAATACACAAATGTGTAAGTAAGCTCAGTAGTGAAGCAATTTTTTTAAGTCTATGATAGCATAGTATTCTGTCTCCAACCCGAAAACTGCACATCCATGCCTTCTTCCCACCTTGCCAGCAGAGCCTCAATTTCGTCTGGACGTCCCCTCCACGCCGCTGACACAACTCTGGGAACCATGAGCCCATGGCTGGCTCTCAAGGCAAGGCCTCAGTTGCCCAATCCAAGCCAGGTATCCCACTCCCTTCTCAAGGCTGGGCTGCATGGAAACCAGCAAAGTTGCCAGCAGGCTTTTCTGGGAAAGGCATCTACGCTACTAAGAAGGGCACACCAGAATGGACAGTCCTCTTTACCCTCTGGAAGGTGCCACATGTAGAAGTAAAACCTGGGACAGCTTGCAGAGTCATTCTGCAGCCACAGGAAGAGCCAGCTTGAGCACAAAGCTGATAACCTGGGTAGCAGTGATTAGCTGGAGAGGATATAGCGACCTTGCTGGCCTCTCTGGGTCACAGGTGCTAAACCTTCTCCTCTGTCTGGAGTCCCTGATATGTAAGCCAAAGTGCCTTCAATTCAATTTGAGTAAGAGGTTTCTTCAGCTTACAATCAAAAGCAAGCTAACTAAAATATTCTCCTGGGAGGAAAAGTTAAAAGTTAGGCATTTTACTCATGGGGAAATAGAGTCAGAAGAACCTTTAAAAATCCTTAGAATGTTCTGTATTTCCAGCAAAATAAAACAGTAAGTTAGCATCATAAATATCAGGAATAGTACATAAAAATTTAAATGAATAATCATTAGAGTATAATTAATTTTCACTCACCATCTTTTTTTTTTTCAAAACTGTTCACAATTTTCCTTCCTCGCAGTTTAAAAGAAACGATTATACATCTGTTTCTGAATTAAGGATATTATGTGGAGTGAACCATTGAAATCTTTTGTTCTTTAGTGATCACAGAGACTGGAAGTCATGTTTGCCCACACCCTGCCTTCCTGAGCCACCTCTAACAATCCTCTTATATGGCTCAGTTCCCTCCTTCTCGAAGACATTGAGGTTCTTAGCCTCCTATTTATTTATTTATTTAGAGACAGAGTCTCGCTCTTGTTGCCCAGGCTGGAATGCAATGGCACAATCTCAGCTCATCACCACCTCCGCCTCCTGGGTTCAAGTGATTCTCCTGCCTCAACCTCCAGAGTAGCTAGGATGACAGGCATGCGCCACCACAGCTGGCTAATTTTGTATTTTTAGTAGAGACAGGGTTTCTCCATGTTGGTCAGGCTGGTTTTGAACTCCTGACCTCGTGTGATCCTCCCACCTTGGCCTCCCGAAGTGCTGGGATTACAGGCGTAAGCCACCACACCTGGCCACCTCCAATTTATTTTTCTTCCTCTGTTCAAATGTTCCCAAGGCCTTGGTAAAAACAAAACAAAACAAAACAAAAACTCTATGACTTTTCTGTCCTCCTCTTAATCTCCCATCTCTTTTCCTAAGCCCTGTTTCTCTTTTTAAAATTATTACCAATACAACTGACGGGCACAGCAACTTGTAGTGGAACTGTCGATCAACTGAAGGGCTGTGAAGTACCGTGAAGTACCATGGCACCAGCAAAATTTATATGTAGGAAACTCATGCTCAGGTTGAGGGCCAATTGTACCTCCTCACCTTCACTGTTTCTTCTGTCACATTTTTGTCAACTTTTGATGCTGCACACTGGTTCATTCGGTGTAAGAATGCCTGCATGAAACAAGAAGACATTATGAAGTTAACATTAGGTTAATAAAATGACTGGGTGTTGAGCAGAATTAAACTAATTTTTTTACAACAAACCAAAATGTACAAATCAATTTGTTCAGTATAATTGTTTTGTTGTAACACAGAAACCCTTGTGCATTGCTGCTCCTATCTGGGAATTACACTTCCTTTACAATGTTGGGATAGGGCCAGAAATCATCAAGTATGTGTAAATTAAATTTATCCAAAGTTGTGAAGTAAGCATTTAGAGTCAGACATTTCCTAAACTTCTAAGACTTGCAAAGCACAAGAAGACCAAAATTTAATGGAAAATGGCATTTCTAATAAAACAACAAAAGGGCCAGAGATTCTGAAGTGATCCTCTTTAAAATTAGAGATAGATAAATAGATAGAAGATAGGTAGGTAGGTTGAGGGACTGATTGATAAAATAGATGATTGATTGATTGATAGATAGATAGATAGATAGATAGATAGATAGATAGATAGACAGACAGACATCCCTGCCACTGTTTCCCAGGAAGACACTTCAAGAAGGAATGAAAGAATTTCCTTTCCCCTCTATCGCCCACCCGCAGCCTTTTAAGAAGCCAGAATTTAAATTTCTGGGTTCAGGTCCGGGCTCTCCATACCTCTATGGTAGGCAAATAAGCTCTTTAGTAATTCAAAGATTTGGACTCTTCTCAGTGGTCATTAAGTTTTGACCAATGGCTAAATAGACTATTTTTTTCACAAAGAAAAATATGAGTAGAATAATTTCATTATATTGAGCCTCGAAAAAGAAAGTTTAGGGGAGAAAAAGGAGAAAAGAATTTCCATCTAGCAAATTTGGTTTATGTCCTCAAGACACCATCTATTATCACCCTCAGGACATGGCTAAGAAGAGTATAAAATGGTACAATATTTCAGAGGGCAACTTGACAATATATCTCAAAATTTTAAATGGGTATTTCCAGCCAGTATGGTGGTTCACATCTATAATCCTAGTGCTTTGGGAGTCCCAGGCAGGATCCCTTAAGGCCAGGAGTTTGAGGTCAGCCTCGGCAACACAGCAAGACCTTGTCTTTACAAAGATTGTTAAAGTTTGCTAGGTGTGGTGGCACACACCTGTAGTCCTAGTTACTTAAGAGGCTGAGGTGGGAGGATCACTTGAGCCCAGGAGTTTGAGTCTGCAGGGAGCCATAATCACACTCACCACTGTACTCCAGACTGGGTGACAGAGTAAGATCCTTTCTCAAAAGATAAAAATAAAAATAAATGGGCATTTTCTTGACCCAGCAATACTACTTCTAGGACTTTGTTCTACGAAAAATATTCAAACAAGGGGATTCATTGTATTTATTACCAAAGTGGAAAAATTGGAAACAATATAAATGACCATCAATAAAAGAGTCATTAAACATATCATGATATATTCAAATTATAGACTACTATAGCAAAAGTGCAATCATAAATGGAATGTGATGAAAACTATATATACACGTACATGTGTATATGACAGATGTCTATAAAATGTTGTCTGTTGAAAAAAATTATTAAGTAGCATATTTGCTACATACATACATATATGCAGATGCATACGAATATATACAGATATACAAATGGATAATATTGGTGTGTGATAATATTGAAAAAACAGCAGGTGGCATTTCCCAAAATGCAATGGGTAGTTCATGTTAGGTAATAGGAAATTGACCTTTGTACACTTTCTAATTTTTGTAGTTTTTAGCTATAAGCATGTTATAACTTATATCAAAATAGGAACAAGACTATTTAAAATAAACCAAATGAGCCACAAGATCTCACTCCTAGCATGAACTTCAGAACCACATTTATTCCTGATTCAACCAGTTCATGTTTCAGATTCTGTAACTACCATGTCAGAGCAGAAGGAACAGCCTCAATTCTTCAATTTATTTCATTTTATTTAAATTCTTCAATTTATTTCAACATCAGCTGAAATAAATAAAATGAATATGTATTGGATGTCACTCCAATTTGTCTATTGGGAACAAGTGATATAATTTTTGAACTCTTATCTAAAATTAATGATAATTGGTGAAAAAATTAGAATTTTCTAACTTTAAGTGCTCAGGTTATTAGTATTATTATGTTTAATTTTTTGCTTTAGTTTTGTTTTTCTTGAATATTTTCCACATACTCATTGCAAAAGTGTTCTTTATATCATTCCATTTACTCTTAAAATAACATGGTGGTTTATTTGCCTAGTTTACATAGTTTACATTTCATATTGACCACATAGTAAACAGGTAACCTCTCGTGCAAGCAAAGCTTAAACTTCACCTCTACATTTATAAACCTTTTCTTCATAAACTGAACTGAGTCACATTCTGAAATGGATAAATTAAAGTGAGGAAGCAGTAACAATGAATCAAAATATGAGTTAGAAGGGAACATACAAACTAAGAAAGTAAACCATGTCTTTATCTGATTTTTTATCTTCTTATTCTCCATGACAATATGGAACTTTTTGTTTAACGGTGTATGAAAGGAAATCTGGAACTTGTTAGCATTTCTGACCAAGTATTTCTTTTTCCCAAGGTCCTCATTTTATACAACAGTGAAGGCAGATTTTAGATGTTTGCTGAGAACGCAAAATCATGAAAACTGTTTGACACTTTTTATAAGAGGTTTAAATCCTCCTTCCTAAAGCTAGGAATAAATAGGTAATTTCAAAATCACCCTTTAACAACCAGTATCTATAGTGCCCTTTCAGACTCTGTTAATTGGCACATTTAATCCTTCTTTTATCAATCAAGGAAGCATCAGTAGCCTAGTCACAAAAATACATGAAGGATTCTATACATTGTTTTATCTCTGCATTCATTCCTACTTGTCCAAAATTTCATCAGAATCAGATAATATTCATCTTGACACACATATATTTGAAATCGAGCTGTGGAAAATAGCTTTTTATGCTAGTGAGTTTCAAATTTTTTCTTGTGTTTAAGACTTGGAGAGTTTCTTCCAAATGCAGATTCCTATCCCCAGAGGTCTGACTCAGCAGATTAATTTAGGACCCAGAAATCTGCATTTTGAGCACGACCTCTAGGTGATTCTGATGTAGTTGGTCCAGAGATCATCTTCTGATGAACATTTCTTTATGTTTATTCTTTCAAAGACTAAAAAAAAAAAAAAAGCAGACTAAGAAATAAATGAGTCTTAATAGGAATATCGGATTTACTTGTTTCACTTTGACTTTCAACTCAATGTCAAACAGTGGTTGTTTCTATACAACATACTCTCACCCAACAACTTGGAATGCCGGTACCCTGCAGAGGACACGCCTCCCACCCATGAAAATCACAGTCAAGGCTGCATTTAACTGGTCGCAATAATCTCTGAAGGGTAGGGAGATGCAGACACAACACAGATGAGTCAAAAACAGGCTAAGTTGCGTTCAGAGGGAGTGAGGCTCTTGTAGATGCCCCTCCGAGGACCTTTCAGCTTGCACGTGTGTGAGCATGTGCTCCGTTCACCAGCATTCCTCTAACAATGGCTCCACAAAAAATATTCCTAGATTTCACTCTAGTCATGGGCTTTTCTCAGAGTACTCTTTATTTTCTCTTTAACAAAATTGCTCCATATTATCTCGTATTTTTGGTAAATGCATATGATAAATATTATCCACCAATTAAAGTTTAATAAAGCTAAAAATGTCACCAATTTGCTATCAAGAATCAAAAGGAAGAAACTCATTAAGATGAAATAGGAAGATGACAGCAATCTCCCTTATCCGTGTCTGCCCATTTGTGCTGTTGCTAGTTGAAAAGTAAAGCAAAGCTCACCATGGGCTTCATACTCAGAATGCATTTTCATATGTTATGATTTCAACATACAAAATGATCTCTTTCAACATATTTTTGCCCTTTCTACTCTTTTCATCAGTCCAGGCACACACAGATCACTCTCAAAAGTCCTGCAGATTTTAACAATTTATACTTTTAATTCTAGATACCCAATGCCAATCTGAATTTCATATTATACAGCACTAAACCTTATTACTCCAACAAATATTCTACATTCAAAATCCTGAATGTAGACTATTTAGCAGCACCCTGTCACCTTAAAGATTTGGCTATTTAATATGGATACAGATAGACAAATTGTGTATATAAAGGTGAAATAGGAAAAATTTAAGAGGGACCCCACCGTTGCAGGAAAAAAGACTGTACTAATTTCATGAAAATAAACAAGAAAAAAACAATAAGGGTAAATATTTTCCTTTTACCCTTTAATTTAAAACAATATTATCACATCACAGTTCTTTGGAAGATAAGGGTTTTGTCTGGTCCTAATAAACGAAAGAAGTTTGTCATTTGGGTTTGCATGAACACCTGGTTGGTACTGGCATCACTGGAATGGAGAAGATTGAAAGTGAAGAAGGTTTTGGGGTGGGAGAATCAGAGTTTGTTCTGGACCTGTTGGGTCTCAGATTTCTATTGGGCGCCAGTGTGGAGATCATGAGTAGGGGGTTAGCCATTCCAACGTGAAATTCTAAGGGAGGGATCAGGGCTTACAGTAAAAAGCCCTGATTGTCACTGGCACAAAGATGTAATTCAGGGAAAGCATATATAGAGAGAAGAAATGACCAGCCCTAGTCCATTGGAGACAGTGTGGAGATGGGGAAGACAAAAGGCACAAGGACAGGATCATTTTATATATTTGTTTACTGTCCGTCTCCCACATTTGGAGGGAGCTTCATGAACGCAAAGCCTATCTGCTTTGTCCCCTGGGATATCCCCAGCACCTACAGCAACATCTGGCACTTGGTAAGTGCTCAATAAACTTCTGCAAAGACTGACGACTTTTGTTCTTAACTCAATGGTTTTCATTTATGAAGACCACCAGACTTCATTCCATTAATTTCCCTAGTGTATTAACTTCCCAAATATTCATTAACAACTTGGAATATAGGATAGCACATAATCTTTTCCTCTTCTATCACTATATGATGTGGTTT